GGGATTTCAACCCCTTCCCGCATACCGATCCTAAAGACTCGTGTAGCTTTAGTCTGCCCTGATACAACGCCTGCATTGCCACAGTCTAGTACTGAAACGGCACAGGCAATACCAGAAGGACAGAATTCTACACCTGCATCAACTGTAGGCCAGTGTGTGAAACACATCAAGCCTAAAAGGAAACGTTCAAGACGTCATAAGACCTCGAAGGCGTCATCAAGGAAAGGGGATGAATGCCAGGCGTGCAGCATCACAGTTTCTAAAACTGATTCAGCGTTTGAATGTAATTTTTGCAAACGATGGGTGCACTGCCGTTGTGACAAAGAAGTACCGAAAGCATACTATGAGTTTATGAGAAATAACCCATGCCCATGGTTTTGGTACGTGTGTCCACTTTGTCGCCCTGGCATAGTCCCACAAAGCGTGTCTGCGGATAGCAGAAATAACATGCTCTTGTGCCCCAACACAGTATCATGCAGCTCCCCCCTGCTAAACTCGCACTGCCGAAACTGGTCAAAGACTTAAAGAAGGACACACCAGCCCTACTGACTGGAAATGCCAATTCTCACAAGGTGAAGATTAGCAAGGTTCCATCCACATCAGGGGAGGGCAAAATTACAAAGGCACCACTTGCATCCACTAGCAAGCCTGGCAACACAAAAAAGGCTGTCCAGGTACCGACGAAGCCTAATGTTGCTAATGATGCAAAGGACTGCAAGAAGCCGAAGGCAAAACCTAAGTCTGAGGGTAGTCGGTCTAACTCTCTCATCCTCTTTAACGTACCTGTGAGCACGGATAGCTTGCTCGAACAACGGGCCCTGTTTGATCAGGAACAGTGGTCCAACCTGTGTGGCAAACTAGGTCTGAACATTAGTTCAGCAAAACTGTGCAGACTGTACAGGGGTGTCCACACGCCTCAGGGTAAGCCACCCCCATTACGGGTTACACTGGACTCTGCCGAAGAGGCCGAAAAAGTACTGTTAATGGCTCAGGTACTAGCCCTGGACAGAAGTTCTAACATAAGAGCGCGGCAAGATAGACCATGGGCCGTCAGAAATATGGCGAGGGAGTCACCGGAACTGATGCCTTCCACCTCTATGGTGGTACACGGTGTTCCGGAGCTGGAAACCGGCACTGCTTGTGAAAAACACATGCACGACGTACAACAATGGAGATGGCTGTCATCTCAGATGGCCCCTGGCGCTTCTGGAGCCATCTCCATTTTCCGACTACCTCGTCCCGCTCATCTAACATTGATTAACTCTCCAAAGCTGCTGTGTGTCACATTCAACTCCCCGGAGCAGTTGTCCATATCACTTCAACGGTGGTATGAGACCAAGGGAAAAATTGGAGGACACATCCGATGCTGTGAAAGCAGACCCAGAAATATAAGGAGGCAGCAAACTGAGGCTTTAATACGACCCCAAGCTTCGGTGACACTAGAGCGATGCAGCTCTGAGAATAATAGTCTGTGTCTCCCAAGTGTCCTGCCTAAATCCATTGAAAAAAACTACAACGGGCCGGTTCTATCGGAATCGGCCAACTAGTTCCAACATCAAGTCCCCCACCAGCAGACGGTTTCACGTCAACTACCCCACAACACTCTGAGGTTGTTAGACTCACTGTCAGTTGCCTATATAGCAATGTGAGGGGGCTGAGAGGGAAAGTAGGTGAACTCCGAAATCTCCAAGCACACCTTCAACTGAAAATAATCATTCTTACTGAAACGTGGCTAAACCCCACTATCGCCGACAATGAAATCAGTATAGGTGATATGGTACTGGTCAGGAGAGACAGGGATAATAAGGAAGGAGGGGGAGTTGCTATATACTTTGATAGGCAACTTAAATGTGTGCGCGCAACGGACCCACCACTTATCGAACTCCCAGACTCCATATGGTGTCATTTCACCGTAGGCCACACCAAGCACTTACTGGGTGGCATCTACCGATCTCCCACCTGTGGGGCAGAGCACAATCAGCTACTGCTCAGCACTATCACAGGAATACGAGATTTGGGCTACGACCAAATCACCATAGCTGGAGATTTCAATGCTCCATCACTGAACCTTGGCTCCGGGTGTGCTAAGGGAAAATTTGGCCGAAACCTACTGCAAACTATTCGAAACACGGGACTGACTGAGAATGTTGGAGACGACACTAGGTGGGGCCCTAGTGGAAAGTCATCAAAACTAGATTATATTCTAACTAGTGACCAGCTACTCGTCGAAAAGGTCCAGATCATGACTCCTCTGGGAAGCAGTGACCATGCAGTCATAGGTTTCGATCTTGTCCTCCGTGAGCGTTTGCAATGGGATGTTACGCGACCATGTCTGTGCTACAGCAAGGCTGACTATGCTGAAATGCGGAGGCTCTTGTCCGACGCAGACTGGCCCTTAGCATGGGACGACCTATCTGTGGATGAACACTGGGAAGTGGTAAAAAAGATTATCCATGCAGCAATCTCGGATACCGTCCCTTTAGTCACAACACAGCCTAAGAGAAAGACGTCATGGTTGAAGAGAGGCACGCAACGTATTCTGCAAGCAAAGCGGAGGGCTTGGTTTACGTGGCGTGTATCTAAGAGTCAGACCGACCATGATGCATACCTCGAACTCAGGAACCGGTGTAATGCAAGAGTTAGGAGGGACAGAAGGTCATTCCAGGCTAACCTTGCTAAAAAACTCCTATCAAACCCTAAAAACTTGTACCGATTCATGTCGGAAAGAAAACCGACAAACCAAGGGGCATGCGCCTTAGTAGGCCCAAACGGTCAATATCTCACTAGTCTGGAGATGGCTGAAACATTCAGTTCAGCCTTCGCTAAACAGCTAAACAGCAATGTGGATATTACAGTTACGGACCAAAATGGTGGCACCACTATTTCAGAGGAGGAAGACCTAGCGACTACTCCCCAAATAAACCCCGCAATAGTACTAAGGAAGCTACAGCGACTCATACCTGGGAAGTCCCCAGGTTGTGATGACATCAGGCCATCTGTTCTGAAACAGTGCGCCGAGGCTCTCTGTAGACCCCTGTGCGACTTGTTCCAACACTCAATGGATTCGGGGACCCTGCCAAGGGAGTGGAAAAGAGCCATCCTTTCTCCAATCTTCAAGGGTGGGGACAGGCAAAACGCTGCTAGCTATAGACCAGTAGCTCTACTCCCAGTGGTATCAAAAGTACTGGAAAGTATTATTGACGACCACATCAGGGAATATTTCGATAGGACTAATATACTGCATGAAGCCCAACATGGTTTCAGAAAAGGCAGATCCTGCGTCACTAACCTACTGTCAGCTTGGGACGACTGGACATCATGCTGGGACTTGAACGTACCAGTCCATGTGGTCTTCCTAGACTTTGAGAAGGCATTTGACACTGTTCACCATGACCTTCTCCTACATAAAATAAGCCAGGCAGGCATAGGTGAGCCACTTCTGTCATGGTTGAAGGACTACCTAGCCGACAGGCAATTTTGCACTAAGGTTAACCGAGTCCGATCATCTTGGCACAGATCGTCATCAGGAGTGTCGCAGGGTTCTATCCTAGGACCACTGATGTTTTTGATTTTCATCAATGATCTACCACGCCGTCTGAGCTGCCCGACTCTCCTGTACGCTGACGACGTAAAAATATGGAGGGCGATAAAGTGTCCGGAGGACTCAGATAGGCTACAGGAAGACCTAAACCTTCTGGAAGACTGGGCGGTGGCCAGTGGCATGACTTTCAACTTGAAAAAGTGCAAAGTAGTGAAGTTGCGCACCTGTAGACTGCAGAATGCAAGTTACACCCTGTGCAATGAAAGCTTGTCCTGCACAACGTCGGAACGCGACTTAGGTCTAGTTCTAACGGAAAAAATGGACACAAGCGTAAATTACACAGGGGATGTAGCGAGGGCATATGCGGTCATACACTTTACGCATAGACAGTTAGGTGCACTCACTCCTGAGCTCTTTCTAATGTTGTACAAAACATACGTCAGGCCACACCTTGAGGTGCATAATATTATTGCACCCCCAATGCTGAGAAGAGATGCCAACCTCTTGGAAAGAGTCCAACGACGGGCAACAAAAGGAGTGGTTGGTCTCCGAAACAAACCATATGATGAAAGGCTGAAGAAATTAGGCCTGTTCACACTTAGTTACCGTCGGCTTAGGGGGGATTTGATTACTGCCTACAAAATAACAAATGACCAGAATCACCCAAACAAAGGTGTTCTGCCATTGAGTAGGTATAGGCTTCCACGTGGAAATCCCAGAAGGATAGCTCACCAGAGGGCAAGGACCCGGGTGCGCTCCCACTTCTTTTCACTGCGGGTTTGTCGTCCCTGGAATTCCTTACCGGCAGATGTAGCTATGGCACCGTCTTTGGACGCCTTTAAGCGAAGGCTGGACAACCATGCAGCGATACAAGGACTGCATCCAAATGGCCTATCTCCTTAAAATCGCATTTACCAATCAGGGTAGATAATTAAACTCGTCATTTTACTTCTTTACATTCTCTCCCGTCTTACTCTCCTGACAACTTATTAATATTATAATTACTATTATTATTATTACTATTACCGATATATATATTATTCTTCAAACTTCATGAGCTGACTGTTGTTACGTTTCCTATTTTCGTTTCTGTCTCTTAGTCTGAATAGCTTCACTAATTATATCTATTATTATTATTATTATTAATTATTATTATTATTACTATCTCTTTTCTCTTGTCGACAATACCGAAGGACTAACTGGCGAAAGGATCAACTCCAATCACAGTAGTAACAGTCTTAACATACCTCATACTACAAACCACATATAATTAATCCCAGCACTACTCCCTTTGGAGTCAACCAAAGCTACGACAGTCGAGTGGCGGGACAAGCTACGCAGAAGTTTACCGAAGATCAAGAACCTATACCTCACAATCAAGAGGCGAGCACAAAGAAATCAAATTGGTTTATACTAGCTCGTAAAAACGATATTGGATATTGGATATTGAATATGCTAAGAGTGTTTCGCAGTCGGATCGCATGAAGCGGACATCAAGAGAAATGAGAATTTATATCAATCCAGAAAGCATGTAGCACAATTTTATTAAAATTTATTCACAAAAACATTTACCAAGCAGAATTTCAACCAACATGCCGGATAAGTCCAGCCTTTAAAAAGATATTGGACTAGTCGTCTTTTTTGAAGTAGCTCGCTACTGTAGCCTTTGTTGTTCCCAAGATGGTTTGTGGATTGCTTAAATTATGTATACATCATTATCTAGACTGTAAGGGATAATTCAAATTCATCGAAAAACAATTCCGAAACTACGAGTAACGTAGAAAAAATGGACTGTGACCAAGATGACCAGAGTATGCTCTTGGCAATGGTAATAAATATACCGACACCTCCTGGCCCACAATGTTACTGGTTAGTTTGCCATTTGTGCCATTGTCTACATTTTAGTATGATGCCGCGTGATTATAGCAGACCGGATTTTCAGTGTAGCGTCTGTTATAAGTGGTTTCACCTGGAATGTATTGCTTTCAACATAGGGTATGTTCATGCATGTGATTTTATTGTCTGTTCTCCAATAGGAAAGCTTTGCCATTTCTTACTGCATACCACTTCATGTGCAAAAAGTGCAATGCTATCGGAGAGGAGGTTTTTTCTAGGAAGCAGGCTAATTTTACCGTCATGTGTCAAACAGCTTTGGCAAATCTAATGCTGAGGCATGGCGGTCGTTTATACTTTATGGAATCTAAGGAACTCATACCTTTTCTTGAGGAGTGTTGGGAAGAACTCACAACACAGCCAAGGAAGTCCAATAATTCATGGTATCCGAACATCCATAAAACTTTGGTTTGTTATTTCTGTTAATCTATGGTCTTAGACTAGTAGTGATGTTTTCAAAACTGTAGAAACGCCAGACGATCTCTACGTGTGCTTATCAAATACGGTAAGGATCTAACTAGTATGCTAATATCTTTGAACTATTAACTGTGGAATCACTACTCATTTCCGAAAAAATCAAGTGGGGAACGTAAAACGTAGCTGTCTAAGTGTATTCAAATGATTGCAATGAAATTTATAAAGTTATAGATAAAATGCGGCAACTATCCTTACTTGCCTAGATTTGCAAATGTGGTCTGACAAATTACAAAACAGTGACTTTGGAGACCATCGCAAAGTATCCATGTTCGGATAAGGCCGTTCGTTTTCTCCTTTGATCGGTAATGTTATCATCTGTCGCTGGAACACCATGGATGAGTAGTAGGGGAAGGTGGTTAGCGTGAGGCTGATGCCAAAGGTAGGGATGCTAACACGGGAGACATTTCAGGCTGGAAGCTGTTTTTCATGTGAAGTTTGGTGGTGCAACTGGCGACCTAATGTTGACCATTAGGCATGAGTTGAGTCATTAAGCTCTGTTTTAATGGTAACGTGATGTAGTCATTTTTATCTCTGTTTCCGTGTTACACTTATGTAACGAAGTGAGACGAACATACTTGCATTCACTGTCTGACGTGTACCAGAATTAAATTTGATCGTTTAGTATGCTAAAGAAAGTTTGACGTGCCTGAGGTGCAATCGCGTTTTTTTCCCTTCACGTTCCCAGTGGAACATAGGGCTTCAGGCTAGTGGCTTGAAGTTTCTGCAGCAGTGTTTAATTTTACAGGATGGGATCGCTAGCCTCATGCCCAATTTTTCCTCTTTACCAGCTTTTTTATTACTGGCTTGGCGAGGTAAAGGAGTGAGTCGGCCGGGGATCGAACCCCGGAGCATGCGTATGGTCGGCGAGCGTCGCAACCTCTGTGCCACCGACGCGCAATCGCTTTACGTATCCTAATATTTTTCTCTGAGAAGAGTCCAGTGTAAGACTCCCAATTGTTTCTCAGGTTTGGTAGTTTTCCCAAAAATAGACGGGGTTTTAATGCTCACTGGCGTATTGCATTTACTTCTGTAGGACCTCACAAAAATTGGTCCGAGTTATGATCGATTTCGTGCTCTTACAAGCCAGTTGCGGACAAATATTACTAAACTGGGTGTCCCGTCCGCAAACATTCCCGCCAGTGTGTCTCAAAATCAGTCTTCGGTGTCGGGTGCTGTTTCCGATACTGCAGATCAGTTCCTGCATCATTCGTCAGCTGGCAACCAGTTTCCTTTTAGTGGTGAAATTGATGGTGTGGATCAACCTGCTTGGCGTAAACGCAGATCTCCGGGTAATAGTTTATTCAGTGGAATGGGTAGTTTTTCTGTATCATCTTTTATGCCTGGCACGTCTTCAGAAGGCAAAATTTCGGGGAGTATGTCTACTACTGAAGTTTCAACGTTCCCTGGTATGAGAGCTTCTGCGTCATCCAATGAAGTAAACAATGCTTCTCCAAGTGGCTTGGTGCGTTCAACTCGCCGAGCCACTTTAACGTCTGTTCTTGGTGGGACTACTGCACTGAGTGGAGCTGCAGTTTCTGATGAAGGACGTGTAAAGTTGAATGCTTTGGGGTTTCCAATAGATCATGCGCTAAATAGAGAAGGATATCGGTAAGTGTCGTATTTTGACTATATGCTTGCGCACCTAAGCTTTTAAACATTCACACTGGCTCCGTTTGTTCATCTTCACATACCTATTTCTTAAAATCATTATTCTACGATAATGTTGCTAACTCCTCAAATGTAAGTGTTTGGTAGCTTTGGTTCTTTTTCCAGTATGAATTCACACTTAATTTGGTCATGTGGTTGCAGCAGGTGCCAGTTGGTGTATCAGAAACAGCTTTTTATGCAAGTGATCCGTGCACCCAGCTACCACTGAATGTGGAGTTTCAGTTTGGTCTTCTCTTCAGCCTTATTCAAGCAGTTACTTGACCAGAATAGACGAAATGTGGTAAAACAGAGTACTTATTTCAGCTGTCTGTTTTCCCATCAGTATTGTAATAGAAAGTCTAAAAAATGTGCCCTGGGTAACTGACAGCATTGAATCAGTGACCAGTAGAATTATGTTTTGACATTGATGAATGCGCTAACCCTACCCGACGTATTCTCATAAACTAACCTGATTTTCTTAATTTGTATTTGAGCTTTCGTTACATATATCTGATTTATAAACATTTGCACTTGGAGTTTTAATCCAGTAAACATTAGAGCTCGCTTGACAAAATGTATGTAATTTAATAGACCACAATTCCGATTGTAATTTGCCTGAATGAAATTTAAAGACTATATGAACTGTGGACGCTTAAACCAAGTTCAGAAGTGATGGTTTGGATGGATTTGGGCGTTGGCTAAATTGTATTCGGTGTTATTAAGAACTGTTCCGATTATTTACGGAAATGTGACAATTAAAATTTAAAACTGCATATCGAAAGATAATCTGGTATTGCTCAGTTTCCACTTTCTAAGTTTGTCAGTTCTTGTATTCTATCTGTTCTTCTTCATTGCTCCCCACCACTTAGTCTTCCTTGAGCTACTTAAGAAAGAATTTGTTACACTGCGAATGTCACTAAAAGTTGTCAATTGGGCAATTGGGATACTGCTAAACCAACTTTTTAATAATATTGTAGACAGACACTCGAACTCATTTAGGAAATTAGCAGATGTCATCCTATCGGACTCTGAGCATCTCGATGCACAACTCTCTCCTTACATTTCATGAGGTAGAACTAGAAGCAACTATGGTAGACTTTATGCTGAGATGATTAAGTACAAAACGCTACAATGTCTTATTTAGCACGTATTTTATGTGATGAGAGAAGTGTTAGGCCATGACACTATCAACTTACTACGAAATACTGAGCAAACTATCCTTTCTGTTCGTTCTTTGATCAATATATTGTTGTGATTATTATTCCCATTATAAATTTAAATCCGTACTATCAGTGGCCAATGATACCAATGTAAGTGTCCTGTGAATTATTTTCCCATGTACTTATTATGTAGTGCAGGGACAAAATTAAATGCAATATTGCGTTACATGTTGAAAATTTCACATTTTATTAAAGTTACTGTTTGAAATAAAGTCAATATCATTATTATTAAAGCCATGGTGAGTCATTTCGATTTGAGCCACCTCTGATGTGACATCAATTGGCTAATTGAAGGTTGAGTGAGTGGGCAACGTTCCTATTGGATTTAGATATCTAGTACTCTCAGGTTGGAAATCTACCGCAACTTTTTGTCTTAAATTACTGCTTAGTTGTATTGGGACATAGATTTCGATGACTTGGATATCTGTTCTAAGTGTCTTCGTACCAATTTTCATATCAATTTGTTGGACCTGTGACTGGCTTGAAAAGACAGAGACATGGCACTAGTTTAGGGCATATTTTTTCATTAAATTTGCATCAGTTTCTGTATCCAGTCACTCAAGATAGTCTCAAAAAGATATGGCGATTCTGACTTGAGAAATCGTATGTGGTTTGAAATGATGTCATTTCTCAAAATGTTGTTTATTTTACGTTTCTTTTACTGTCAGTGATTATAAAAAGTGGTAAATGCCCTTGATGAGAATGATTTTGTTCGTGGTGTCACCGTAGATGTTATTTTCTTGTTTTTATGTTTTTATACTTGCGACTCACTTTGTCAGTTTTGTGTTTGAATAAATGTATGCAGATTTTACGCTTGTGCATATTTGATTAGTTCCGAGGCAGATTTTGCCACATGTTTACACCAGTCGTAGGATTACTGAAAGCAGAAATCATTAGGCAGCTGTTTTTGTTTGATATTGCTTTTACTTGTTCTCCCTCTGCCTGTGTGTTTTCGACATAGAACTTTGCGCCGATGTGCGGCAGTTCAAGTCGCCACACTCCCTCCTTGTAGCACGTTTAAACTTCAGACTTTCTAAAGAACTAGTACTGATTAAAAGGTGTGGATGCCTAGTCTTTATCATTAAGTTATTCCGTAAATTGCATCCCCTTATATTTTTAACATGTGGAGCTCTGGCCCATAAACTTGAGTGCTAGACTTCCAACCACTCGGTCACGGGTTCAAAATCCTCCGCATCCCCTGAGGTTTTGAAAGTTAGCTGGTATCACCAGTCCTCCACACAAGAGGTGTGGCCCACCGCCAACTGAATGGAGTTGCATTTTATTTCACTTCCCAATTTTTTAGCTTAAATTTGGTACCATTCCAAAAATACAAAGAACTCATTGTGCTATATAAAATTTCATCTTCGATTACACAGACCTATAGATGTCCAAGATTTTGAGCTGATTTAGTTGTACAATGGTCACTTAAGATATTTTAGTAGCATTTTACTGATTAGGAATGAGATACAGAGTGCTTAATAGGATATCCTGAATCCATCGCTAAAATGATGTAACAAATCTGGATCAAGAAAGACCAGATTTGCAGTATAAAATAAAATCATCATCCTATTTCACAGGTTCTCCTCATCAGTTGCAAACTACCTGAAATTACAATGGTTATAAGTAATGACATTTCATACTTCAATTTTTGAAAGGTAATAAAGATGTGCTCATCTTATAATTTTTTCTTTATTACCTTTCAAAAATTGAAGTATGAAATGTCACTACTTATAACCATTGTAATTTCAGATAGTTTGCAACTGATGAGGAGAAACCGGTGAAATAGGATGATGATTTCATTTTATACTGCAAATCTGGTCTTTCTTCCTCTATCGAAATTTATCAAGGGAACCAAATGTATGAAATATCTAGATCAGTTACTGGTGTGTTGAAACACGATGAATAGGTGTACAGGATTACTTAACTACCACGAAACAACTATCACATCTGCTGATAGCTTGGTTTTCTTATCTTCAGTTACATTTTAGTTGAACCAGACAAGCATGCTCCTGGTCGAGAGCAGTGGGATGAATGTGAGTTCACAGCTGGAAAGCCCATACCTGGCTTATTCTACCGTGTGTTTATATGTTCGCAAGTGGTCTTGTCTCTGAGTGATCGTGGTAAGTTTATCTTTGTTATATATATATATATATTTTTTTTTTTTTATTTCATAGGTGTTTCCCATGAAATTTTTGTTTGCCTTCAATGTTCTGAGAAAAAAATATGAATTTATGCGAATATATATATATATATATATATATATATTATTATTAAATTTTTAGAATTTATATTTTTATTAACAGCACTTATTTCATTTGTAAGTCATGAACTTTTGTTTTAAAAACAACTCAGTCTTTCAGTAGTTTGTGTCGCTTTAATAGTCATTTATAGTAGCGAGTGTTACTGATAAGATTTATGAGTAATATATATATATATATACTATACGTGATTGTGTAATTGTGTACCTGATATTAAGCAAATGAAACGAGTTTTCGGTATTGATTTGACTAATTTAGCAAGAGCTGAAAATAAGGCTGTGCCAACACTTCTCATTAAATGTATTCAAGAAATAGAACGTTGTGGTGGATTATTCTGTGAAGGTCTTTATCGTATCCATGGAAATTATGATCTAGTCGAAGAATTACGTATTGAATTTGATAAAGATCCAGAATTAGCCAATATATCTGAAGCTCATGTACGTGATATCAATGCTTTGACAAGTTTGATTAAATCATTTCTACGTCAATCGCCTGTCCCATTAATCACCAATGAAGCTTATCCAGATTTACTTTATGTTGTTCGTAATGACCGACTAGTGGAACAAGAAAAGCTTGATTTATTGAAGAAGGTGTTTTCTCGATTACCAGGTGCTCATTATGAAAGTTTACGTTACTTTATCAATCATATACACAGGATAGCTGAAAAGCAAGAAATCAATATGATGACTACTGCTAACTTAGCTATTGTTTTATCTCCAACATTATTAAGTTCATCGTATACAGATCCTATAAGTTGTTTAGCTGGTACACTATTTGAACATGCATTAATTGAATTATTAATAAAACATTGTGCTTATCTATTACCACCAAGTGGTCGATGGTATACAACACCGAGACCAAATGAATTAATCGACGGTGTTATGCATTCATCATCACTACTAGTTCGATGACCAGTACAACACCAACAACAACAACATCAGTTCCAATATCACCGCCTAGTATATCAACTTCATATAAAAAATGGAGTCCAATGCCAACTTTATCACCGATACCACTCTAATGAATGAATGAATAATTTAGGTGAATAAATCAATTTCAAATGTTCAACTACCTATTCTTATTGTTATTATTATTTTCTGTTTATACCAAGATTTCTTTTCTAACACATTCCATAATATTCTTGGATGCTTTTATAAACTTCTTTCTCTTATCTTAATTTCATACAGATACACGTCGGTGGCGTAGCGGTTAGCATGCTTGCCGACCATGCACATGGTGCGGGGTTCGGTCCCCGGCCACTGACGCACTCCCCCCTTACCTCGCTATGCCAGTAATAAAACTGGTAAAGAGAGAAGGTTAGGCATGAGGCTAGCAACCGCATCCTGTAAACATAAACATCACTGCTATAGGAAACTTCAAGCTTCTAGCTTGAAGGTGCCCTATGTTCCAATGGGAAAGCGTGAAGGAAAAAAAACATATACTATAGTAATATAGTCGGAGAGATACACAGGAGATTTGGAAGGGAAACAGAGAAACACAATAAGAAGGCTAGAAGTACCACAACACGGAAGATTTGTGCAAATAGCGCGTTGAAGATAAGGTGTACATAATTTGGCTATAATATAGAGAGACCAATTTCCGAGTAAACATTCCTTACCAAATCTTTCGCCTTCTACCCCTTACATTTACACCCTCAAGTTTGTACATTTTGCTTAGCATCCTGAACCTGAACAACGTGAAGTTTGTAGAAAACATTTGAATTTACTTGTTTATTATTCATTTGAACAGGCATAACTAATGCCCGACCGATAGCTGCTACCTTGGCGTAGTGGTCGGGCTTGCACATCGCGATGATCCAACAAGCTACACTGTCTGGAACCAATGTTCCTGCGGGTCCTACCATCCCAGGGAGGTTGTTAGGATAGCGTTAGACTAAAAGCAGTTGCTGACATAGTGTAAGAATTTATTTTTTCTACACTATGCTGGGGGTCGGAGGGCGAAATCGTACTGCTGGGGAACAGGGGTGTAACAGCAGTGAGGTGTTTCCCTCAGATGACCAGCATCTCAGCCAGCTATGGTGTCTGAAAATGTTGACCCCAACAATTGTACATCCTGACTCACCCTACGGTGGTCCGTAACCGGCGAAGCAGGTAACAGCAGTACAGTGTTTCCCTCAGATGACCAGAATGCCAGCCAGCTATGTTGTCTATCCACTCTGGAGAGAGGGAGCCAAAAAATGTCGACCCCAACAATTGTACCCCTCGACTCAACCTGCGGTAGTCCGTAACCGGTTATGAGTTTACTAATACGGAACCAATCCCAGAAATCAGTTCATACAGGCCGTGTGTGACTGGACTCAAGCAGTTGTCCCCTGGGCTCTGTGGTCACACAACACCAACCCTTCAGGTACCCAAAGAATCAACCAACTTCCACGGTTGGTTGGGTAGCTGGCAAGTAACAACCGCCCACGCACTTCCAAAAGCACACAAAGCCTTCCTGACCATCATTCTCCTCTACCCAGTGTAACTAATGATTGTACTACTTAAACATCTGTATAAAAAAGCATACATTTTTCATCTGAATTTCAGTCCTTCATGATTACTTTATTGATGCTGATACAGAGTCAGGCTGGAAAAGAGCTAGTGGAGGTCAAACAAAAACATGGCACCAGTCAATGAAATCTACAACAGTTAGTCTAAGCCATGTAGGAAGGTGTAGACTTCCTGACTAGTTGGGGTCCCCGGGACGGTAAAAACCAATGGTTGGAAACTATTGGTGATATGGTTCAAAATCGTTCTCAGTGGCACAGATGCATCCACTCCTTGTGATTTATGGTTTCCAATGAAACCATATTGTTCTTCGTTATTACTATTCATTTGTCTCACACCTCTGATTACTGTCTCTATTATACATTTCTCCTACTTTCTTCTCTTGCTTTGTGTGCTACAAGGAGGGAGTGTGACGACTTGAACTGCCGCACATCGGTGCAAAGTTCTATGTCGAAAACAGACAGACAGGCTTTATTGTTGTTGTTTTCTTGTCCTTTACTACTTTTTTTATTCTTCTTCATAGCGAATCACTTGAAAGTACACGAATCTCAGTTATCAGTTACTGGCGATAAAGGATACTGTATGTCTAGAGCGACTCACAGCGTTCACTCGGGTACCTGGTATTTTGAAGCAATCATCACAGAACAACCAGAAGGTTCTGCAACTCGAATTGGCTGGTCTCAAATGTATGGTGAGTATTGAAATTTCTGTCGTCCCTATTTATACAAGTTGTTACTGCCGGGTAAAATAAGGTAGATGCCATGAATGCTTATCTGTCAGATGTTTCGGTCGAATAATTAGGCAATGTTTGTCCCTCTTACAAACATTGGTGAACACTATGGAAATGAGCCAGTATAAGAATCTGTAGTTTTTAATGCAATCAAACTTTTTTTTCATTATACATCACTTAAGCTCACTGGAGTGTTCACACCAAGACTATATGGCTCGCCTAAAGCGCACAAAAATGGTGTACCGCTTCGACCATTATTAGATATGCTAAATTCACGATACTATCCAAATGGTTAGTCGAACTCTTCATACCGAGTTGGTGAAACACAGTGTAAAGGATACTTTTGGTTTTGTTGAAAGGATAAAAGATTTAAATGTTAACAATAAGTTCATGATATCATTTGACGTATCTTCCTTATTCACCAATGTACCACTCATGGAAACAGTGGACTTTGTATGCTATGAACTCATAAGACGAAACATTGATGTTGGCATTCCTATATCTTTTACGAAAGAGCTTCTCTTCAAAAGCACAATGAATGTCCACTTTTTATTTAATAAGTAACTATATGGGGAAATCGGCGGTGTGGTAGTGACGTCACCAATAGAACCCATTCTAGTCGACATTTTCCTCGCGGAACTAGAATATGGGCCTTGGAAGGATGTTATTAATGAACTCGAATTCTATTGTCGGTACACGGATGATATATTTTTGAGTATGAAAAATGAGAAGGAAGCAAATAACATCCTGGATAAATTTAACGAGGTTCATCCTGCAATAAATTTTACTATTGAGGAAGAGAAAGACTCTAGTATTTCATTTCTAGATGACATTATGACCAGTAAAGAGGATGGCGCCATAAGAAGAAGTGTATATAGAAAACCTACATCAACGGGTCAGTATACTCATTTTCTCAGCTTCGTGCCCTTGAAATACAAACGCAATCTGATAAAGTGTTTGTTCCACCGAGCAAAAGAAATCTGCTCGGATGATTGTCTTGATGGGGAACTTACTAATATCAAATGGTTGCTGAGTGAAAACGGTTTTCCGGAAAACTTTATTAATGAGAATATGAACCTAAATTCAAGGCAGCTCAAGGTACCAAGAGTTCCTAAAAAAGCCTTATTCTTACAAATGCAATTCCTTAGGGACAACATCAGCGAGATACTAACACATAGCCTTAGAAATGAGGCGGTGAAAAGAGCATTCCCTGCTGCTGAATTACTCTATGTCTTCAAAATCACGCCTCTTTTGCGTTCAGGAGTAAAAGATGAACTGCCTATTTCTCCTCTTTCATGTGTATCTACCAGTTAAACTGCTCCTGTGGAGCCAGTTACATAGGTCGTACAATTAGACGTGTTTCTTGTCGGATTTCCGAACATCATCCTGCGTGCTTTAAGTAAAGTACAAACAAGATCTATTCGTAGCGCTATTCTCTCTCATCTTGTGGATACAGAACACAAGATTGATGTTAACAAGGAGGCTTTCATAGTCATTAACTGCATACCGAAAAATCACAATTTTTCCTTAAGAGTTCGACTACTAAATATTGCTGAGGCTGACTGTTGGGATCCATATTAAAAAGAGTAATTTGTGCATCCAAAAAAGTTAGTTCAGACATTATCGTTACCTTGGCCAGCTAGGTTTGAATGATCCTGAATTTTTGTGGAGTTTTCCTAATTTTAATTGATATTCTATTTCCTACTGTATCTTTATTATTATTATTATTATAATTTAAGCCTCTTTAATGAACTGTAATTCCATTGTGGTCATACTTTACAAATCGATATTATTTAGAAAACACGCCAATATTGTTATTGACTACTAATCTAGAATATATTCTATTCTAGAATATTCTATATATATATATATACAAGTAATATAAATGATTTATGCTATGGAAAGCATGTTGTATTAATGCCTACCTGCTCGTAATGTCCTGCAGTGAATAGCATAGATTATGCCACATCGAACTATTTACTCGCTAGGAGTAGATGAGTAGTTGTCCAGCACTGTGAATTTACTAGCCCAATCTTAGTCTGTTGTGTGCTGAGATTTCTTCGCTACTACAGCTTGATTCTACTGGTTTGTCTTCGACTGTCTGTTTAGTCTTTTAAAGCTTGTATCTAAGTTTTAACTTGACTACTTGACTGTGAGACGGTCAAAACATGTTAATGCTTGTCTTTTTTTAAGAAAAACTTGTATTGGTTTTTGTGATCTACAGTTATTTCCAGTTACAGATGTTCAATACTGCCTTCTCTCTTGATATATATCCAGGTAATTTACAAGCACCTTGTGGTTTTGACAAATTTAGCTATTCCTGGCGATCACGTCTTGGTACTGTATTTCATGAATCTCACGGTAAACATTATACGAATGGTGGATATAAAAAGGATGATGTCATCGGCTGTTTAATACATTTGCCGTCAACAGTTGGCCCTTTCACACCGATAGAAAATCAAGCTTCAAAATCTTCCACACCTCAATTGATGAATACATTTTCTCCCATGATGGATGACGTTCATTCTAGCATAAGTGGTACGCTGAACTCAACAGATTCAAGGAAATGTAATAATAATTCACATGCACCTACTTTTCTTCCTGAAACTTACAAAGACCGTGTAAGTGACTTGATAGATTTACCAAATTATGTCTTTAAAAAAATCAATTTTGAAAGTTTCGTTGGTGTATGTGGTGAATTCACTTTGAGCCGAAATCGTGTGGCTGAATGCAATCCGATTTATCTGTCCAGCTACAGGCACAGGCAGCGCAAATTATGATTTCAAAGGTAAGGTTGAGATTATTGGACATCTACTGGCACTACTGGCATGACGGAGTTTTGGATTTTCAATACCACTGTCAAGTCAATGCTCCCATATATGCTTCAGAGATTTAGTGCATTACGAAAAAGACTCCCAACAAGCTGCTTTCGCTTGATGCTGAAGATCTGATGGTTAGAAAGGATAAACGTTGAGGAAATCTAACAATGAACCAAACAAGAATTCTATCCCCTAGCAAATGTGCCAAAGAAATGGGGATGGACTGGACATACTCTGAGAAAATCGTTGAGTGACATCACACCCTAACGTAGAGCCTGAATAAGTAACGGCAAGTGGGACTTCCTAAGGTGACATGTAGAAGATCGTCTGGTTAAAAAGAAAAGAAGCTTCTAAGTAGTCGTGCAGCCAGTTACAAAAGACTTCAGAGAACAGAGTGAAATGAAGATGAGCCACTGAAGGGATATAATAATAATATAATAATAAATAAATAATCTACTTTATTCCCGTGTAAAGTGGCATAATAAGGTGAGCAACATGGAGGTTAGGCGCAGAGTTCTAGGTAAACAGGGGAAATCAATCGACGAAGTCGTGAAGCTACAAAGACTGAGATGGTTAGGACATGTGTTACGTATGCCAAGCCATCGCCTCCCTCGACGAGCTATGTTAGCGGATATAGGGTCAGACTGGAAAAAAGCTAGCGGCGGTCAAACAAAAACTTGGCTTCACCAGTCAATGAAATCCACAACAGTTGGTCTAAGCCACGTAGAAAGGTGTAGACTTCCAGGCTGGGGTCCTCGGGACGGTAAAAATCTATGGTTGGAAACAATTGGTGACATGGCTCAAAACCGTTCACAGCGGCGCAGATGCATCCACTCCCTGTGACTTATGATCTTCAATGAAACTGTTTTGTATTTCTTTATTACTCCTTTGTCTCACACCTCTGCTCACTGTTTCTATTATGCTTTTCTTGTACTTTCTTCTCTTGCTTCGCGTGCTACACGGAATGTGGCGACTTGAACTTCCGCACATTTGTGCAAAGTTCTATGTCGAAAACAGACAGACAGACAGACAGACTTTATTCCAAAAACAGTACTTATAATACAGAATGGAATTCTCAGCATCTGTAACAATATTGCATCTGATTAACTCAAAATATAAATAAAATTAAAAATTAAAACAAAATTAACCATAGGAATTTGTCCACGTTTACAATATAAAGTCAAAAACATTCGAAGTCCTAAGTGAGAATAGTAAATATAATAATAATAATAATAACAGTGAGTTTGTTTCAAACAGTATTGTTGATTCAATTTGAAAATTTTAGCATGTTCTGTTGATATAGCAGCATGGTGAGGGGAAATACAAGATTAACAGTTATACCACAGGTAAACGACGTTCACACTTATGAGGGAAAAAATCGAGAGAATTATAAATATAAGAAGTACAATAACAATAAAAGTTGATATTGTAAGGGTGGAGGAAATGGTTTATGTAGTGTAGTGCAAAGAAGGCTAGTTGGTTCGTGCCTAACACTATTTTTATCACATAAAGTACGTGCCAAATATGAAGTGGAATATATAGTGGAATTTTTATACTTAGACGTTTTACCTGAGGAGACACAAGGTTAGAGCTGCGGGTAAAGTGAAAAAATTCCTCTAGCAAATTTGTTGCATGACATCAGGTGCCTATCATCAATGACGGTGTCAACAATATGGCCCAATGGGATGCCACTCGTCCTACTGACTGACAGTCTTCAGAGTCCTACGAAGTATGACATAAACTTTTTTTGAGCAATCCAGGAAAGAATAAGCAAGGGTGAACAGTAAAGAAGAATAGGTAAGATGCACGAGTTGACAAACTGTAAGAGGAGTGGTTGGGTTATGCCTGAGTGCCTTAACTTCTTTATGTAAAAAGTTAGACGAAATATTCTTTTCGAAATCGCTAATACACGGGAAGACCAGGATAGGTCAGAAAAAAAGAATCAATCCAAGATACTGAAATTCAGACTTGGTTTCTATATCAGTATCATCAATTTTGCAAGGGTTATAGGAACCAACAGCTTCATTTAACTTTCTTTTATATCGGAAACTGAAATCAACAGTCTGACATTTAGAAGGATTCAGTTTAAGGTCATTAGACGAAAACCATTGGCTGACTCCTGATAGGAAGCCGTTCCACTCGAAACCCAAGGGAATAATAAGAGTATATAATAGTAATTTTACCCACATATTCATATATTTGTAAATCTGATATCTTTGTTTTATTAGATGTTTTAGCGAGGAAATAGGGAGTGAAATCGCTGATTTCCTCCCGTTGCTTTCCTGCATTTACATAGATTGCCGATAGAGGTATTATTTCTTCGCTTAGTTAATTCAGTTGTCCTTCTGTCCCTTGGTTTTAGCCTTTGATCAGGTTTCGGAGTTCCTTCTACTTTGAAGAAAAAGATGATCCAAGTAAAGCCGAAAAATCACTGCGTCCACTACCGAATAGTAAGGTGAGCGATATGGGTTTATACTACTTTATTTTTGTTAGTAGGATAATTAACAAGCTGCCAATTATCTGTAAGAGCTATGATTTCTAAGTTTACCTAACCAATAAAACTACCTTCGAATTTCAGTATTTTTCGAATACATTTTCTATGAAATCTGATTTAAATGCATTGGAATTCGTCTTTCATCTCTTGAATTTTTTAAAGAGTTGGAAATATCTGGAACTATCAAGTTGCAGATTTAAATCAGTACTGTAGAGTTGAAAAGAGAACAAATTAGCATAGATGTCATTGATATCGGGTGAAGAGCCAGGATCACAGCCAACGGGTCATGAGTTCATGTCCCTTTCCGCTCGTTTCAGCCTGGGCAATTAGGTTTATCAACCGTCACACATTAAGTATGGCTGTTATCCAGAGTAATTGAGTCCAAACAAAAAGGCAGAAATAGTTTGTTTAATGCATTCCACTTTTTTGTACGATAATATTTAAGCTACCGAAATTAGAAAATCCGGGCGGTACAGTTGACTTCCAAAGTGGGTTTATTTTATAGCGTACATATACACTGCATAGTCATTCATGGAGTGATTAACTTCTTGATATAGTCGTGTTCTCTGAGCTGGATGAGTTTCATTGCCCTATTAGGCAACATCTTCAGCGCATACTTCAATTCATTGAAGTGAGCTTTTAGATTTCTCCACGAGTAGTTTATTAGTCATATTTCCTGCTGGGTCACTTTGAACGTGACTGGTTGTTTCTGCGTGTCTTCACACCGACTAGTCCACTTGTATTGGTACTGATCGCTTCCTTGACTTAAACTTTAACCCTTTGTGTGTGGGATTTACTTCTTATTGGTTGGTGAATTTTGTCTATCTCGGTGTGTCTGTTGATTGACGATTCACTGGAATACTAGACAGTCGTCTAATAATTCTCTAGCATTCTTGGTGTTTCCTCTGTCTAATAGTTGAACGCTGGTTGTTCCAGTCAAATTGATGTCCGTGGTTATGTGTATGTAGTGAGGCGATATGAGTGAGGGAGTGGATGTCATGTATTTTGACGTCTAGCTTATGGCCACGGATACGAAGACGAAAGGGACGTCCACTTTTGCCGATGTTGCGTTTTTCGCAGTTGTTACAATTTATTTTGTAGATGATGTTGGTTTTATCTTCTTTCGCTCTTGAGTCTGTCTTTTGGTTGACATAGAACTGAGTGAAGTGATTTTGTTGATTTGTGTGCTACGTCAATTCCTAAAAATTTGAAGAGTCTGGGAGTAATTTCTGAGATGTCTTTTATGTACGGTAGGGCAGTTTTCTTTGTGCTTTCTTTTTAGGTCTTTGACTTGATAAGTTGGCTTGGGAGTAGATGTCTTTTGATGAAATTCCGTGGATATCCATTCTTTTGGAAGACGTCCATGTGATATCTTTCTTCAATTTTCCTTAAGGTGGGAGTGCCGCAATGAGTCCTCGCCCTCTTGAACAGTGTTTGTATACAATTCCTTTTGTGTGTTATTGGATTGTTGCTGTTGTAATTCAGGATTTGGTCTGTGTGAGTTGATTTTCTATCAACTTGAGTTTCTAATTCCCCTGTAGTTTTTCGCTTGTCTAAGATGTCCAAAAATGGTATTTTGTCCTCGGATTCATCTTCTCTTGTGAATTTTGTGTCGTTGAAGACGTCGTTTATTAAGTTGTGAGTTTTATCCAACTCCTTTCTTTTGATTGTTACGAATGTGTCGTCTAAATAACGTATCCAAATTTTGGGTTTGATCTTTGGTAGAATTATGTTTTCGAGTCTTTGCATCACTGCTTCTGCAATCAAACCTGATATTGGCGATCCCATGGGTGTTCCTTCAACTAGTTCATATACTTGGCTGTTGAATTGGTAATACATTGTTAGGCATGAGTTTATGCATTCCATTCAACTTGTGTGTTGCATTTTTGATTGTTGTGGAAGTTGTTCGTCGTTGCTAAGTAATTGCTCCATGGTTTCTTTTGCTAGTTTTTGTCCGATAGAGGTATATAATACTGTCACGTCGAAGGATACCATTATTTCTTGTTCATCTATTTGGATGTCTCTGATTTTCTCTAGGAATTGAATAGCAGAGTTGATGGAGTGATCGCGGTATTCCATTAGGTGTTTTAGTTTTCTGTATAATTCTTTGGATAAATTATATGTTGGAGTTCCTGGGAGTGATACAATCGGTCGTAACGGGATATTTGTCTTGTGTATTTTGGGTCTCATTTTGGCGTTCATGTCTCCCTTTAGTATTTTAATGTCATCAACTGGAGTATTGTCCACTGTCGCCTGTAGTTGTCCTTGGAATTCTTCTTTCTTTTCGAGGTCTGCATTGTTTGTGGGTGTATAGCATTGTATAACTGACACTTTCCTTCCTTTGTAGTTGAATCTGGCGGTCATTATTGTTATATCTTGCTCTGTCTGCGCCTGAACTTATATGTCTATCTGCTCGTCGTACCTTCCGACTTAGTAAAGCACGCAAATATCAAAAGACAAAGGCTGGACTGTGACTGTGTATTGAAGTGCAACAACGATAAAGAAAGCCATGGTATTTATACATTTTACAACAATATGGACAGCTAACAGCATTTGAAATAATTGACCTTAATAGCCAATAACAAAGTGTGTGAGAAATGATAATATGCCATATGTGCGACATTGACAGTCAGTAACAAAATGTGTGGGAATGATATACCATATATACAAAATTAGCAGTCACTACCAAAATGCGTGAGAATGATAATATACAAAATTAGCAGTCACTACCAAAATGCGTGAGAATGATAACATACCATAAATGCAAGTTTAAACAGTCAATACCAAAATATGTGGGATCCTATCACCTCCCCCCGTAAAGAGTGTAGGACTTGCTTTTTGGATCTATTTGAAAAGGTTTCGGAGCTCTTCTTTGTCGAGTTGACCTTTGCGTGGTACTGGATAGAGCGTGATCTGTGTGTCTGCCACATAACTGTCCTTTTTCATTCGTACGATAATGCAGCAAGAATTTATCCAAAATTTTTTTCTGTTGTTCCCTCCCCCTTCGCTTTTGCATAAGCACGCTTAAAGGTGTCGACGAAACGTTCAGTAATAGTTGACGTAGGAGGGACACTGTTGCAATTGATGTGGCAGAATGCATAGGAAATATCTCTGGCCATTTGGAAAACGCGTCGACACATATTAAGAAATGCATACTATTGAACGGTCCAGCGAAGTCAACATGAACACGGGACCATGGTTTGTCCGGTCGTGGCCAGGAACATAGTTCTGTCTTGCGTGGACACTTTGATGCTTGAGCACATTTACTACACTTGCGAACGAGGTCTTCGATATGGTCATCGATGTTGGGCCAGTAAACATAACTGCGAGCGATCGCCTTCATTCTCCCAACACCAGGATGTGATATATGAAGCTGCCGAAGCACATGGTCACGAAGATTAGCTGGAACGACAACACGATCAGCAAACATTATGCATCCATTAACGATGGATAGGGATTTGCGTCGCTGGTAAAACTGTTTTAAAACATTTGAATGAACATGTGGAGGCCAGCCAAATCGGATGAACTTTGATACTTGCTGTAAAACTGGATCACGCAGTGTGTGTCTGGCAACCTCAACTGCAGTCACCGGAAGATCGTCCAGAGAGATAGACATTATAATTGGGTTGTAATTTACACAGTCAAAAATGTTATATAGTTGCGCTGAACAGAATAAAAACTGTCGTCGTTGCGTGCTATAACTGCGATGAATTAAAGTAAATCCCGTCGCCAATTGTTAAGTAAACCCCGTCGCCAATTGTTATAACTGTAGGGAATTAGATGAAGACGTTTTCACCTTATTCTGTCTGCGCCTGAACTAATCTGTCTATCTGCTCGTCGTACCTTCCGACTTAGTAAAGCACGCAAATATCAAAAGACAAAGGCTGGACTGTGACTGTGTATTGAAGTGCAACAACGATAAAGAAAGCCATGGTATTTATACATTTTACAACAATATGGACAGCTAACAGCATTTGAAATAATTGACCTTAATAGCCAATAACAAAGTGTGTGAGAAATCATAATATGCCATATGTGCGACATTGACAGTCAGTAACAAAATGTGTGGGAATGATATACCATATATACAAAATTAGCAGTCACTACCAAAATGCGTGAGAATGATAACATACCATAAATGCAAGTTTAAACAGTCAATACCAAAATATGTGGGATCCTATCAATTATCCTGGGCGAGATCGCCTCCAATTGCATCAGGGCCTTCGTTGCCGCTGTTGACATCATGATAGCCACGCCTTCGGTGTGCGTGTGGTTATCTTCAGGGTGACCGGAGTAGATCACTGACTCCACCCGTTGACAATTTGTTGAGTCCATTCCCGTTCCATCTGCTTTCACATATCCCAAGTACTTGAATTCCGTATCTTTTCATTTCTTTTGCAGTCTGGGCAGCTTTGCCAATCTCGTACATAATGCGGACCTTGAAGTTGGATTCTTCCCTGTCTGCAGTTCTTCTGAGGAATCTCAACTTCACTTTGAAGGTTCCTTGAACTAGGTGATGACGTGAGCCCGCATCTGCTCCCCTTCTCAACTTTGTATCCAGCAGGTTGCGTCTCCACTTCTTTGAACAGTATTGAGGTGAAATCTCTGGTTTGTAGTATGTCCGTCAGGCTAAATCCTTGTTGCTTTGTGTATATCTTTGTGTTTGTACACGCTCTTTCCGATCACCAAATTGTTGAAAGAGCAGAAGTCTACGAATAACTCCGTCCGAGTGAGAGTTTCTCGACCCATGATGAGTTCTCTTCCTGTTTTTTCTGCTCCCAGTTTGGCTTACATTCATATCGCCCGTAAAGATTTTGATATCCATTACTGTTTGTAGTTGTCTGTAAAAATCGTTTATCTTCTCTTGTTCCGCGTTGTTTATAGCATTGTGTGTAGCATCGGATAATTGTGACCTTCCTTCCTTCCTTTTCAGTTGAATCTTGTTGTCATGGTCTTCATGAGGAGATCAGTTTTCACTGCATTAGGGCTTTGGTTGTCACTGGTGACATCATGGTAGCCACCTACTCACTGTCTCAGTGTGCTCGTGGTTTTTGTCCGAATGACCAGACGGGAGTAGATTATTGACTCTCTCGTTAACAATGTTGCCAGTCCACACCCATTCCATCTGCTTTCGCAGATACTCAGTAATTCTAAGCCATCTCTTTGGCTAAATGGACAGCCTTCCCAGTCTCGCACATTGTACGGACATTCCACCTACCCGTTCCTACTCTTGCTTTCATCGAGAGAAGACACACACTGGGAGACTGGCTGTGACTGGCTTCCCGACGGCTAGCTTTCACCAGCCCACTGTGTCATTTCGCCTCTCCGATTCAAGCGAAAAGTAAGATTGTTGTTATTTGAAGTTTCTGTATTTGCAGTATATATTTACTGTGTGCTGAATGAAGTTTGTCTAGCAGTTTGATGATAGGTTTAGTAGTGTGTGGTTGATATCCGTACGCCCCCAACCCTGTCTGTTTACTGGGACTTCTTTGGACTGGCTAGTTAACTCGGCGAGATTATATAAACATGTGTGAAGGATGAGAATTTTGTTGAATAGAAGACTGAAAGCCAGCATGTTGCTTAAAATCTGATACTTTAAAAACGAAGAAAAAAAATCAAGTGTCTTTATTTAATATGAGAACTACTAAGTTGATATGTGAACAGCTAAAAAAAAATGTGATTGGGTTTCTTTCCATGTTAAATGAATGTAGAGGTGGGTGGGTGATATGTGTGTTATTTCGATAAAAATCCACTTGATTTTTTCCTATCTGTGAATATAGCATTTCAACCTTTTCTCTTATCTCTTTGTCTATCCATCCTTCCACCTGGATTTGTCGGACTAATCTCTACAATTTTTTTATTTTTCACCCACTGGTCTAAATGAATCCACAAACACACACACATACACACACACACACAATCTTTGAAAGTGAAACTATATATATAATCGTGTTCATGACGATGTTATAAATTTTCTACGCAGCTGGTTCATACACACTTCATTGCATTTGTTTCTTGTCATGTTTTGTATATGCGAAGGCAAAAAAATCGGATTAATTCCTATAAGACGTCAGTGATGAAATAATAAAACCTGAAAATTATAGTTATTAATAAAATAAGGATTCAATCTCTAATTCATCATTTTACTACGCCGACTCTGGCGTAGACGAGATGTTCGACTATCGACCAAAGGGCGGGTGTACTGCTCATCAGTCCGCTCCGTCCTCCTGTATGGTTGTGAGACCTGGCCACTGAGAGTGGAAGACATGAAAAGACTAGCTGTCTTTGATCATAGGTGCCTGCGTTCTATTTCCCGTGTAAAGTGGCATAATAAGGTGAGCAACATTGAGGTTAGGCGCAGAGTTCTAAGTAAACAGGGGAAATCAATCGACGAAGTCGTGAAACTACAAAGACTGAGATGGTTAGGACATGTGTTACGTATGCCAAGCCATCGCCTCCCTCGACGAGCTATGTTAGCGGATATAGGGTCAGACTGGAAAAAAGCTAGCGGCGGTCAAACAAAAACTTGGCTTCACCAGTCAATGAAATCCACAACAGTTGGTCTAAGCCACGTAGAAAGGTGTAGACTTCCAGGCTGGGGTCCTCGGGACGGTAAAAATCTATGGTTGGAAACAATTGGTGACATGGCTCAAAACCGTTCACAGTGGCGCAGATGCATCCACTCCCTGTGACTTATGATCTTCAATGAAACTGTTTTGTTCTTCGTTATTACTCCTCTTGTCTCACACTTCTGCTCACTGTTTCTATTATGCTTTTCTTGTACTTTCTTCTCTTGCTTCGCGTGCTACACGGAATGTGGCGACTTGAACTTCCGCACATTTGTGCAAAGTTCTATGTCGAAAACAGACAGACATTATTATTATTATTATTGCTTTGGGTTCCGAGTGGAACATAGGGCTTCAACAACACCTCCACTTTGTTCTATTTTCTGGCGTCCTCTTCAGGTGGGTCCACGATTGCCCATAATCTCTTTGCTCTTCCTAGCCACACGATCTCTTCCATGTCACCCTCAAACCAACATGCAACTCGTCGCTTCCTATTAGGATTGTACTCGAGCAATGCGATGGCATGTGTATTGCGTGCGATATCATTCGGTGTTCTCCTCAATCAATGCCCGATCCATCTTCATTTTGTCATACACATTTGTTGGGCGATTAGCTTCTAGTTGGTTTGTTCCCAGCCAGCCAGCCAGTGAAAGTTTCTTTTAGCTAATTCTTTCTGGTCAGCCGACTGGCCTCTTGATTTTCAGTATGCAGACAGATAAAAGTCTGCAGTGACTGTTTGGTACTAAACAGTGTAAGATGCAAACCACCAGTCATCTGCAGTGACTTGTCGGAAATACTTTTCGTGACATGCTGGCTAAGTTTCTGACCCGTATATAGAAGAACTGACTGACTGATTTCACATTCATGTTGAAAATCCTGAGAAATCTTGTTCTTTATGCTGAGGTGAAGTGCAGAGGATTTCCAAACTGATGTCAGATTGACGAAGGTCCTTCCGATTCTAGCCTCCTTTGTCATCTTCATTCATTCCAAATTTCTATAGTTGAAACGGTGCTTCCTAGAAAAGTGAAGGAGGTAACCTCTGTGTAATCTCTTCTTTTGATGGTTGTTTGTTGCTGCTGCTGTCGGTTGGTTATGTTAATCACTTCCGTCTTCTCTATGTCCACCTACAATCATGTTTTCACTGTCTCTTCAGCCAGTTTGTTGGTTTTCGCCTACAAATCCTCGACATCAGACACATATATTGTCTGCGAAATCCATATCTTCTAGAGTCTCCTTATCGGTCATTAATTCATCAGCTTCCTGTAATTCTTTCCAAGTGTTTATCTGGAAATATAATTCCTTGTTTACAGGCAGCACGACAATTTAAAATTATTTTATTTAATATGTGTCTACACATCTGGTGTCCATTTGTTCGAATTTCACTGCGTAATATCAAATTTTCAAGTATTGGTTTTGTAGGGATTTTGTTTGATTGCATGGAGGATTTCATCATGAGCTGACAGCAGTTAGAGAACCACTGGAAAACCTGGGAGTACTGGACAGCTGCTGTTTTCGTCCTAGTTTGGGACTCTTCAGCAGTACGCTCATGATGAAATCCTCCATGCAATCAAACAAAATCCCTACAAAACCAATACTTGAAAATTAATCTGATGCTCACTAGTGGCTGGCTCTATTCAGGCACTTAACCTGGGGTTCTAGTGGGAAGCCGTGACGTGACCAGTAGAGTACAGCAGGTTGAAGATGAGGCAGCAAGTCATCGAAGAAGATATTGCGAAATGGTCGCGCTATGTCATGAATTGGCAGAAGTTAGTACTCAAGGTCCATTGGATTGGGTCCCAGTGGCTCAATGGTCTACAAGCTCACCTTGTAACCAGAAGGTGCTGGGTTCGAACCCCGGTGGGTGTGTACTGTCAAAGAGTCCCAAACTAGGACGGGGGAAGCAGCTGTCCAGTACTCCATGCAGGTTTCCCAGTGGCTCTCTAACTGATGTCAGCTGATAATGAAATCCTCCATGTAATATGAAATTATCGTTGTAGTTTTGCATTTTCAGTGATGATTGTACACACACTTATGTAGATCACTGGTTGGGATACTCATTTACTATCCTTGTGGAATCCTAAAGATTAAATCTGTACAGTTGTCGCTAAGTGTGAAAAATGGACCTTTCAAAGATTTATAGTCTTATAAACTATTTGTAGGGGACTTAACAAACTTATTGGATAACGAATGATACGAAATATTAGAATAAAAATCCGAATGCAATATTATATTTATAGGAGTACAAATAATCAGTTATAAAAGTTAGTAGTCACCTGAAAATACAGCTACAATCCACTGGTACAAACTAAAAATATGATCAACAGATCTGTTTCATTGTTGGCGTCTAGTTTCAAAATAAATGATAAAAAAAATTGTGTGTATTATCAAGAGTGTTTACTTTAAGCAATATATTCATATTATTTTCTTTTAATATAGATTGTATTTTATCGTAATGGTGAGTGTATGGGAACAGCTTTCACGAATATCTACGCAGGTAGCTATTATCCAGCAATATCAATATTCAGGGCAGCCACAGTTTCTGTCAATTTTGGTCCATCCTTCAAACATCCTCCAAATGATTTTCCAGATTGGCAACCGGTAAGTGTTAGTAAAAAATAGACAACTTGTAGGTTAAGCTTTTTTTTAAATTTGGAATGCTATTTAAAATGAGAGTGGATTAGTTCAGTTAGTTCAGAGATGAATAAATCAATGCAAAATTTTTCACTGTGTTGAATCCGTTGAAATTGTTGCATTTCGAAGCATCATGTAAAAAAAACGGAATGAAAATAAAATAATGCTACAATAAAAAATTTGAGTGTGGACAACAAAAAAATCCGTGAAGCTTTTGCGGAGTATTCTTTGTGTAAGCGATATTGAGGTTAGACATCGGTCCACTGCTAGGTAAGGAGGGGAAATCAATCGATGGGACTGTGAAGCTACATCGACTGAGAGAGATAGTTAGGACTTGTGTTACGCATACATGCCTAGCCATTCATCGCATTCCTCGACTACGGACAATGTTAGTTGGCATAGGATGAGTCAGGTTGGGGAAGAGCTAGTGGTTGTCAAACCCAAAAATGACCTTATCAGTCCATTAAATCCACAACAGTTAAGTTAGTTTAAGCCACCCAGCCAGCCACTTAGGAAGGTTTAGACTTCCAGGCCGTTTGAGGGAGGAGGCCTTCAGGATGGTCGAAACCAATGGTTGGAGACAATCGGTGATGTGACTCAAAATCGTTTTCAATGGCTGGCGCAGATGCATCCACTCCTGGTGACTTACAATTCCAATAAATCTATAATGTTCTTGTAAACACTAGTCTATACGGAACATAAATTATTATTATTATTTCTATTCTTTTTGCCTTATATCTCTATGTTGAATTTCGTTTAAGTTGCTTCTTTTGCTTTTTATGCTACATGAAGTGTGGCGACTCGAACTGCTGCACATCTGTGCAAAGTCCTTTGTTGAAACTAGTCAGTCAGTCAGCAGAGTTCTGCGTGTTTATATGTTTGTTCAGGGTAAACGTAGTCGGCCTAAAAGTTTCTTTCATGTGAGAAGTGTAGAAATGTTTTAGTTTATACTGTACAGAGAAGGCTAATGGTAGCTAGGACATAAGAAACAGTTGGCTAAGTCAAATTTGAGTGTAATGTGTCTACTCACTTTACCTGCTGCAATCAAGCTGAGGTCGAATGTATTTGAAACGTAAAGCACGTATTCACATGTGGTTTTAAAGACTGTGTCAATTTGTACTGTTGCGTATATCTGAAATATTGTGCGTTGGAAACTTAGTCACCTCAGTCCAATTCTTCAAACACTTGCAAATCATTTCACTATTGACGTTCATCTGACATTATTTCTTTCATTTTTATCCAACCTAACACCATTATTTATTGAGGATAGGTAAAGTTACTTCTAGAAATCTATTTAAGTAAACTATTTTGGAAAGAATCAATCTCTAAATTAGTTAAGAAATGTATGTCTCGAGCTTTTCTTCATACGAACAAGACAATTATCATGTGTTTAGGTAATTGAAACGACTTCCAAGAAAGAAGGACGATAAAGTCTTTAAATTTTCGTTTGACGATGCACAGACTGCCTGGTTGCAGTCGCCGCGACTCTAAAAAAGTCGTTTTTAATGGTGCAGATGCATTTACCCTTCAGGTGAGCATAGAGAAAACATAGGTGATGAAGATTTCTGGCCAGAAGCAACAACAATAATCAGCATAAATGAGAAGAATCTGAAAGAAGCAACCTCCTTTACCTACCTACCTACCTACGTACCCATCGTTTCATATACTGGCGGACGTTACGGATGGGGATATCAAAGCAAGGATCATCGGGAAAGCAACACAAGCTTTCATTACTCTCAAGTCTGTGTGGAGATCAACAGCACTCAACATCAAAAATAATATCCGGATTTTCAACTCCAATGTGAAGTCAGTCAGTACTACTTAACATATGGATCGGTGACTTGCATTGGGCGTCATGAGGAGCACCTCAAACAAACTACAGACCTTAATCAACAGCTGTCTTCGCTCAATACCACTCAAGATCAGATGGCCGGTCAGAAAAGATCAGCAATACGCATCTCTGGGAGCAAACGAGCCCAGCAGGAACCTATTGTGCAACAAATATGCAGGAAGAAATGGAGGTGGATTGGATAGGCCATACTCTGAGGAAACAAACCAACAAGTGACATCAGTAGACAAGCCATTGCTGAAGTGTAACCCGAAAGGGAAGCAGCGAGTTGGTCGTCAGTGTGAAGGTGACTTGGAGGAGGTCATGTGAAGAGTATATGAAGGCATGTGGATGGACTTGGAGCCAGGTGAAAACGTTGGCAGAGAACCGAACGCAATGGAGACGCTCGGCTGAAGCCCTATGTTCCTCTAGGAATTAAAGGAAATAATAATAATAAAAACCAATGGCTGGAGACAATGGGTGATATGATTCGAAATCGTCGTTCTGAATGGCGCAGATGCATCCACTCCTTGTGACTTATAATTTCCAATGGAACTGTATTGTTCTTCCTTATTACTATTCATTTTGTCTCATAACGCTGTAAACTGTCTCTATTTTGCATTGATTTTTACTTTCTTCTCTTGCTTTGTGTGTTACATGGAGTGTAGCAGCTCGACGAGCTGCACATCGGTGAAAAGTTCTTTGTTGAACCCAGTCAGCCAGTCAGTCTACCAGCGTCACCGAGATTTATAAGCTTGAAGACATATGTTCCACTCGAAACGCAAAAGGAATGAAAAAAAACAACTAAACGAATCAATAGGCCAACACTTTATTTTTTTATTCATTGTTGAAAGAAGCTGACAGAGAACAGTGGTAACAACATTGTACTTTCAAAATATTTCAAATATTTTTGATTTGTTAACAAACGTAGAAAACTGCAGTGTATATATTCTCGTCAGTGAACGAGACATTAGAATTTGTAATCCTAATCAAATTAGTGAACACAATCATCAAATAAATACGAACAGCTAATCACATATTACATAGATGTTACATAGATGTGTAAAACAGCCAGCCAGTACTGCAAGGATTCCACCATATTATAGTTGATAGTGTAACCGAAGAGATGACAAGCAATCGACTTGTGCACAAAAAGAAATATTGAAACAGTACACCACTAAAATGACAGTTTCCACAAAAAACAAAAACAAAGCAAACAAATTTCGACACACACACACAACAATGAAGTTTTGAAAGGTTAAAATATCCCTTCATTTTATTTTTATGCAGTATTCATATTCATTCCTCCAGTGAGGTTGGATAGAAAGAAAGAGAGAAGTGCAGATATACATATACATCTGTACAATAAATACTGTTACGTGCTACAACATTTCACAAAGATAAAAAAGTGCATCAAAAAAACCAAATAATAATAATAATATATAGCTAAAAGTTAATTGTACATAAACTCATGAGATTTGCAAATGAGAATACTGCAAAAACCTGACATGAATGTACTTCATTCAGTTTGTTGTCAACAACAGCATGGATGGATGATGAATTCAAGGTAAAAATATTTGTTGTTTCTCGAAACACAAGAGATGGAATATATATAGTTTATAATAAAGTCATATATTATAGTAATGATTTCTTTAAACAGTTAACGGAATCTTGGAACACATGAATTGAGTGTCCCTTCAATAAATCCTTCTTTTTCTACTAAATAGATCAAATCGGAAAGAGTCTGTTCAACAGAAGCGCTTACAACACGAGCGGACATCTGAAAAGAAATATAAATAAATAAATAAGAGTATACAATTGGTGGATGGTGGCTAGCAGTGGACATCGTCGAAGAATCTGCACAAGAAGCCGACATGTCAACCTGAGACCGAGCACTTCGGTCCAATCAATCGACGGGAAAATCAAAAATTCAATTCAATAATTAAATAAGAGGTTTTAATTTTTTTCAGAATGGGTTGACAAAATAATTAAAAACATAGACATAGAGTATACGGTGTCGGAGTTAACTGATGAATAGATGAGATGATATACATTTGGTCGATACTACTGATTGATTTGAAATATTAGGAAACCACTCCTTGTAACTTGTGATCTCCGATGAAACTGTTTTGTTCTTCGTTATTACTCCTCCTTTGTCTCACACCTCTGCTCACTGTCTCTATTATGCTTTTCTTGTACTTTCTTCTCTTGCTTCGCGTGCTACACGGAATGTGGCGACTTGAACTTCCGCACATTTGTGCAAAGTTCTATGTCGAAAACAGACAGACAGATTGGGAAACCAAGCACATCGACCAATCACATCTCCAGGTTGCCAGGGAAAGAGAGACGGAGAGATCTCAGTGATCTAAACTGGTCTGTATTGAAATCTCAACGTAGAACTTTACAGAAAACAGTGCACCAGAGTTCAGCTTACAACATAAAGGTAGGGGAAAAAATTCAAAGGTACTATGGTGAAGGGAAATGTACCGATTAAGAAGATTATTATTATTGTTTCCTCTAATCCCTAGAGGAACATAGGGCTTCAGCCGAGCGTCTCCATTGCGTTCGGTTCTCTGCCAACGTTTTCACCTGGCTCCAAGTCCATCCACATGCCTTCATATACTCTTCACATGACCTCCTCCAAGTCACCTTCACACTGACGACCAACTCGCTGCTTCCCTTTCGGGTTACACTTCAGCAATGGCTTGTCTACTGATGTCACTTGTTGGTTTGTTTCCTCAGAGTATGGCCTATCCAATCCACCTCCATTTCTTCCTGCATATTTGTTGCACAATAGGTTCCTGCTGGGCTCGTTTGCTCCCAGAGATGCGTATTGCTGATCTTTTCTGACCGGCCATCTGATCTTGAGTGGTATTGAGCGAAGACAGCTGTTGATTAAGGTCTGTAGTTTGTTTGAGGTGCTCCTCATGACGCCCAATGCAAGTCACCGATCCATATGTTAAGTAGTACTGACTGACTTCACATTGGAGTTGAAAATCCGGATATTATTTTTGATGTTGAGTGCTGTTGATCTCCACACAGACTTGAGAGTAATGAAAGCTTGTGTTGCTTTCCCGATGATCCTTGCTTTGATATCCCCATCCGTAACGTCCGCCAGTATATGAAACGATGGGTACGTAGGTAGGTAGGTAGGTAAAGGAGGTTGCTTCTTTCAGATTCTTCTCATTTATGCTGATTATTGTTGTTGCTTCTGGCCAGAAATCTTCATCACCTATGTTTTCTCTATGCTCACCTGAAGGGTAAATGCATCTGCACCATTAAAAACGACTTTTTTAGAGTCGCGGCGACTGCAACCAGGCAGTCTGTGCATCGTCAAACGAAAATTTAAAGACTTTATCGTCCTTCTTTCTTGGAAGTCGTTTCAATTACCTAAACACATGATAATTGTCTTGTTCGTATGAAGAAAAGCTCGAGACATACATTTCTTAACTAATTTAGAGATTGATTCTTTCCAAAATAGTTTACTTAAATAGATTTCTAGAAGTAACTTTACCTATCCTCAATAAATAATGGTGTTAGGTTGGATAAAAATGAAAGAAATAATGTCAGATGAACGTCAATAGTGAAATGATTTGCAAGTGTTTGAAGAATTGGACTGAGGTGACTAAGTTTCCAACGCACAATATTTCAGATATACGCAACAGTACAAATTGACACAGTCTTTAAAACCACATGTGAATACGTGCTTTACGTTTCAAATACATTCGACCTCAGCTTGATTGCAGCAGGTAAAGTGAGTAGACACATTACACTCAAATTTGACTTAGCCAACTGTTTCTTATGTCCTAGCTACCATTAGCCTTCTCTGTACAGTATAAACTAAAACATTTCTACACTTCTCACATGAAAGAAACTTTTAGGCCGACTACGTTTACCCTGAACAAACATATAAACACGCAGAACTCTGCTGACTGACTGACTAGTTTCAACAAAGGACTTTGCACAGATGTGCAGCAGTTCGAGTCGCCACACTTCATGTAGCATAAAAAGCAAAAGAAGCAACTTAAACGAAATTCAACATAGAGATATAAGGCAAAAAGAATAGAAATAATAATAATAATTTATGTTCCGTATAGACTAGTGTTTACAAGAACATTATAGATTTATTGGAATTGTAAGTCACCAGGAGTGGATGCATCTGCGCCAGCCATTGAAAACGATTTTGAGTCACATCACCGATTGTCTCCAACCATTGGTTTCGACCATCCTGAAGGCCTCCTCCCTCAAACGGCCTGGAAGTCTAAACCTTCCTAAGTGGCTGGCTGGGTGGCTTAAACTAACTTAACTGTTGTGGATTTAATGGACTGATAAGGTCATTTTTGGGTTTGACAACCACTAGCTCTTCCCCAACCTGACTCATCCTATGCCAACTAACATTGTCCGTAGTCGAGGAATGCGATGAATGGCTAGGCATGTATGCGTAACACAAGTCCTAACTATCTCTCTCAGTCGATGTAGCTTCACAGTCCCATCGATTGATTTCCCCTCCTTACCTAGCAGTGGACCGATGTCTAACCTCAATATCGCTTACACAAAGAATACTCCGCAAAAGCTTCACGGATTTTTTTGTTGTCCACACTCAAATTTTTTATTGTAGCATTATTTTATTTTCATTCCGTTTTTTTTACATGATGCTTCGAAATGCAACAATTTCAACGGATTCAACACAGTGAAAAATTTTGCATTGATTTATTCATCTCTGAACTAACTGAACTAATCCACTCTCATTTTAAATAGCATTCCAAATTTAAAAAAAAGCTTAACCTACAAGTTGTCTATTTTTTACTAACACTTACCGGTTGCCAATCTGGAAAATCATTTGGAGGATGTTTGAAGGATGGACCAAAATTGACAGAAACTGTGGCTGCCCTGAATATTGATATTGCTGGATAATAGCTACCTGCGTAGATATTCGTGAAAGCTGTTCCCATACACTCACCATTACGATAAAATACAATCTATATTAAAAGAAAATAATATGAATATATTGCTTAAAGTAAACACTCTTGATAATACACACAATTTTTTTTATCATTTATTTTGAAACTAGACGCCAACAATGAAACAGATCTGTTGATCATATTTTTAGTTTGTACCAGTGGATTGTAGCTGTATTTTCAGGTGACTACTAACTTTTATAACTGATTATTTGTACTCCTATAAATATAATATTGCATTCGGATTTTTATTCTAATATTTCGTATCATTCGTTATCCAATAAGTTTGTTAAGTCCCCTACAAATAGTTTATAAGACTATAAATCTTTGAGAGGTCCATTTTTCACACTTAGCGACAACTGTACAGATTTAATCTTTAGGATTCCACAAGGATAGTAAATGAGTATCCCAACCAGTGATCTACATAAGTGTGTGTACAATCATCACTGAAAATGCAAAACTACAACGATAATTTCATATTACATGGAGGATTTCATTATCAGCTGACATCAGTTAGAGAGCCACTGGGAAACCTGCATGGAGTACTGGACAGCTGCTTCCCCCGTCCTAGTTTGGGACTCTTTGACAGTACACACCCACCGGGGTTCGAACCCAGCACCTTCTGGTTACAAGGTGAGCTTGTAGACCATTGAGCCACTGGGACCCAATCCAATGGACCTTGAGTACTAACTTCTGCCAATTCATGACATAGCGCGACCATTTCGCAATATCTTCTTCGATGACTTGCTGCCTCATCTTCAACCTGCTGTACTCTACTGGTCACGTCACGGCTTCCCACTAGAACCCCAGGTTAAGTGCCTGAATAGAGCCAGCCACTAGTGAGCATCAGATTAATTTTCAAGTATTGGTTTTGTAGGGATTTTGTTTGATTGCATGGAGGATTTCATCATGAGCGTACTGCTGAAGAGTCCCAAACTAGGACGAAAACAGCAGCTGTCCAGTACTCCCAGGTTTTCCAGTGGTTCTCTAACTGCTGTCAGCTCATGATGAAATCCTCCATGCAATCAAACAAAATCCCTACAAAACCAATACTTGAAAATTTGATATTACGCAGTGAAATTCGAACAAATGGACACCAGATGTGTAGACACATATTAAATAAAATAATTTTAAATTGTCGTGCTGCCTGTAAACAAGGAATTATATTTCCAGATAAACACTTGGAAAGAATTACAGGAAGCTGATGAATTAATGACCGATAAGGAGACTCTAGAAGATATGGATTTCGCAGACAATATATGTGTCTGATGTCGAGGATTTGTAGGCGAAAACCAACAAACTGGCTGAAGAGACAGTGAAAACATGACTGTAGGTGGACATAGAGAAGACGGAAGTGATTAACATAACCAACCGACAGCAGCAGCAACAACAACCATCAAAAGAAGAGATTACACAGAGGTTACCTCCTTCACTTTTCTAGGAAGCACCGTTTCAACTATAGAAATTTGGAATGAATGAAGATGACAAAGGAGGCTAGAATCGGAAGGACCTTCGTCAATCTGACATCAGTTTGGAAATCCTCTGCACTTCACCTCAGCATAAAGAACAAGATTTCTCAGGATTTTCAACATGAATGTGAAATCAGTCAGTCAGTTCTTCTATATACGGGTCAGAAACTTAGCCAGCATGTCACGAAAAGTATTTCCGACAAGTCACTGCAGATGACTGGTGGTTTGCATCTTACACTGTTTAGTACCAAACAGTCACTGCAGACTTTTATCTGTCTGCATACTGAAAATCAAGAGGCCAGTCGGCTGACCAGAAAGAATTAGCTAAAAGAAACTTTCACTGGCTGGCTGGCTGGGAACAAACCAACTAGAAGCTAATCGCCCAACAAATGTGTATGACAAAATGAAGATGGATCGGGCATTGATTGAGGAGAACACCGAATGATATCGCACGCAATACACATGCCATCGCATTGCTCGAGTACAATCCTAATAGGAAGCGACGAGTTGCATGTTGGTTTGAGGGTGACATGGAAGAGATCGTGTGGCTAGGAAGAGCAAAGAGATTATGGGCAATCGTGGACCCACCTGAAGAGGACGCCAGAAAATAGAACAAAGTGGAGGTGTTGTTGAAGCCCTATGTTCCACTCGGAACCCAAAGCAATAATAATAATAATAATGTCTGTCTGTTTTCGACATAGAACTTTGCACAAATGTGCGGAAGTTCAAGTCGCCACATTCCGTGTAGCACGCGAAGCAAGAGAAGAAAGTACAAGAAAAGCATAATAGAAACAGTGAGCAGAAGTGTGAGACAAAGGAGGAGTAATAACGAAGAACAAAACAGTTTCATTGAAGATCATAAGTCACAGGGAGTGGATGCATCTGCGCCACTGTGAACGGTTTTGAGCCATGTCACCAATTGTTTCCAACCATAGATTTTTACCGTCCCGAGGACCCCAGCCTGGAAGTCTACACCTTTCTACGTGGCTTAGACCAACTGTTGTGGATTTCATTGACTGGTGAAGCCAAGTTTTTGTTTGACCGCCGCTAGCTTTTTTCCAGTCTGACCCTATATCCGCTAACATAGCTCGTCGAGGGAGGCGATGGCTTGGCATACGTAACACATGTCCTAACCATCTCAGTCTTTGTAGTTTCACGACTTCGTCGATTGATTTCCCCTGTTTACCTAGAACTCTGCGCCTAACCTCAATGTTGCTCACCTTATTATGCCACTTTACACGGGAAATAGAACGCAGGCACCTATGATCAAAGACAGCTAGTCTTTTCATGTCTTCCACTCTCAGTGGCCAGGTCTCACAACCATACAGGAGGACGGAGCGGACTGATGAGCAGTACACCCGCCCTTTGGTCGATAGTCGAACATCTCGTCTACGCCAGAGTCGGCGTAGTAAAATGATGAATTAGAGATTGAATCCTTATTTTATTAATAACTATAATTTTCAGGTTTTATTATTTCATCACTGACGTCTTATAGGAATTAATCCGATTTTTTTGCCTTCGCATATACAAAACATGACAAGAAACAAATGCAATGAAGTGTGTATGAACCAGCTGCGTAGAAAATTTATAACATCGTCATGAACACGATTATATATATAGTTTCACTTTCAAAGATTGTGTGTGTGTGTGTGTATGTGTGTGTGTTTGTGGATTCATTTAGACCAGTGGGTGAAAAATAAAAAAATTGTAGAGATTAGTCCGACAAATCCAGGTGGAAGGATGGATAGACAAAGAGATAAGAGAAAAGGTTGAAATGCTATATTCACAGATAGGAAAAAATCAAGTGGATTTTTATCGAAATAACACACATATCACCCACCCACCTCTACATTCATTTAACATGGAAAGAAACCCAATCACATTTTTTTTAGCTGTTCACATATCAACTTAGTAGTTCTCATATTAAATAAAGACACTTGATTTTTTTTCTTCGTTTTTAAAGTATCAGATTTTAAGCAACATGCTGGCTTTCAGTCTTCTATTCAACAAAATTCTCATCCTTCACACATGTTTATATAATCTCGCCGAGTTAACTAGCCAGTCCAAAGAAGTCCCAGTAAACAGACAGGGTTGGGGGCGTACGGATATCAACCACACACTACTAAACCTATCATCAAACTGCTAGACAAACTTCATTCAGCACACAGTAAATATATACTGCAAATACAGAAACTTCAAATAACAACAATCTTACTTTTCGCTTGAATCGGAGAGGCGAAATGACACAGTGGGCTGGTGAAAGCTAGCCGTCGGGAAGCCAGTCACAGCCAGTCTCCCAGTGTGTGTCTTCTCTCGATGAAAGCAAGAGTAGGAACGGGTAGGTGGAATGTCCGTACAATGTGCGAGACTGGGAAGGCTGTCCATTTAGCCAAAGAGATGGCTTAGAATTACTGAGTATCTGCGAAAGCAGATGGAATGGGTGTGGACTGGCAACATTGTTAACGAGAGAGTCAATAATCTACTCCCGTCTGGTCATTCGGACAAAAACCACGAGCACACTGAGACAGTGAGTAGGTGGCTACCATGATGTCACCAGTGACAACCAAAGCCCTAATGCAGTGAAAACTGATCTCCTCATGAAGACCATGACAACAAGATTCAACTGAAAAGGAAGGAAGGAAGGTCACAATTATCCGATGCTACACACAATGCTATAAACAACGCGGAACAAGAGAAGATAAACGATTTTTACAGACAACTACAAACAGTAATGGATATCAAAATCTTTACGGGCGATATGAATGTAAGCCAAACTGGGAGCAGAAAAAACAGGAAGAGAACTCATCATGGGTCGAGAAACTCTCACTCGGACGGAGTTATTCGTAGACTTCTGCTCTTTCAACAATTTGGTGATCGGAAAGAGCGTGTACAAACACAAAGATATACACAAAGCAACAAGGATTTAGCCTGACGGACATACTACAAACCAGAGATTTCACCTCAATACTGTTCAAAGAAGTGGAGACGCAACCTGCTGGATACAAAGTTGAGAAGGGGAGCAGATGCGGGCTCACGTCATCACCTAGTTCAAGGAACCTTCAAAGTGAAGTTGAGATTCCTCAGAAGAACTGCAGACAGGGAAGAATCCAACTTCAAGGTCCGCATTATGTACGAGATTGGCAAAGCTGCCCAGACTGCAAAAGAAATGAAAAGATACGGAATTCAAGTACTTGGGATATGTGAAAGCAGATGGAACGGGAATGGACTCAACAAATTGTCAACGGGTGGAGTCAGTGATCTACTCCGGTCACCCTGAAGATAACCACACGCACACCGAAGGCGTGGCTATCATGATGTCAACAGCGGCAACGAAGGCCCTGATGCAATTGGAGGCGATCTCGCCCAGGATAATGACCGCCAGATTCAACTACAAAGGAAGGAAAGTGTCAGTTATACAATGCTATACACCCACAAACAATGCAGACCTCGAAAAGAAAGAAGAATTCCAAGGACAACTACAGGCGACAGTGGACAATACTCCAGTTGATGACATTAAAATACTAAAGGGAGACATGAACGCCAAAATGAGACCCAAAATACACAAGACAAATATCCCGTTACGACCGATTGTATCACTCCCAGGAACTCCAACATATAATTTATCCAAAGAATTATACAGAAAACTAAAACACCTAATGGAATACCGCGATCACTCCATCAACTCTGCTATTCAATTCCTAGAGAAAATCAGAGACATCCAAATAGATGAACAAGAAATAATGGTATCCTTCGACGTGACAGTATTATATACCTCTATCGGACAAAAACTAGCAAAAGAAACCATGGAGCAATTACTTAGCAACGACGAACAACTTCCACAACAATCAAAAATGCAACACACAAGTTGAATGGAATGCATAAACTCATGCCTAACAATGTATTACCAATTCAACAGCCAAGTATATGAACTAGTTGAAGGAACACCCATGGGATCGCCAATATCAGGTTTGATTGCAGAAGCAGTGATGCAAAGACTCGAAAACATAATTCTACCAAAGATCAAACCCAAAATTTGGATACGTTATTTAGACGACACATTCGTAACAATCAAAAGAAAGGAGTTGGATAAAACTCACAACTTAATAAACGACGTCTTCAACGACACAAAATTCACAAGAGAAGATGAATCCGAGGACAAAATACCATTTTTGGACATCTTAGACAAGCGAAAAACTACAGGGGAATTAGAAACTCAAGTTGATAGAAAATCAACTCACACAGACCAAATCCTGAATTACAACAGCAACAATCCAATAACACACAAAAGGAATTGTATACAAACACTGTTCAAGAGGGCGAGGACTCATTGCGGCACTCCCACCTTAAGGAAAATTGAAGAAAGATATCACATGGACGTCTTCCAAAAGAATGGATATCCACGGAATTTCATCAAAAGACATCTACTCCCAAGCCAACTTATCAAGTCAAAGACCTAAAAAGAAAGCACAAAGAAAACTGCCCTACCGTACATAAAAGACATCTCAGAAATTACTCCCAGACTCTTCAAATTTTTAGGAATTGACGTAGCACACAAATCAACAAAATCACTTCACTCAGTTCTATGTCAACCAAAAGACAGACTCAAGAGCGAAAGAAGATAAAACCAACATCATCTACAAAATAAATTGTAACAACTGCGAAAAACGCAACATCGGCAAAAGTGGACGTCCCTTTCGTCTTCGTATCCGTGGCCATAAGCTAGACGTCAAAATACATGACATCCACTCCCTCACTCATATCGCCTCACTACATACACATAACCACGGACATCAATTTGACTGGAACAACCAGCGTTCAACTATTAGACAGAGGAAACACCAAGAATGCTAGAGAATTATTAGACGACTGTCTAGTATTCCAGTGAATCGTCAATCAACAGACACACCGAGATAGACAAAATTCACCAACCAATAAGAAGTAAATCCCACACACAAAGGGTTAAAGTTTAAGTCAAGGAAGCGATCAGTACCAATACAAGTGGACTAGTCGGTGTGAAGACACGCAGAAACAACCAGTCACGTTCAAAGTGACCCAGCAGGAAATATGACTAATAAACTACTCGTGGAGAAATCTAAAAGCTCACTTCAATGAATTGAAGTATGCGCTGAAGATGTTGCCTAATAGGGCAATGAAACTCATCCAGCTCAGAGAACACGACTATATCAAGAAGTTAATCACTCCATGAATGACTATGCAGTGTATATGTACGCTATAAAATAAACCCACTTTGGAAGTCAACTGTACCGCCCGGATTTTCTAATTTCGGTAGCTTAAATATTATCGTACAAAAAAGTGGAATGCATTAAACAAACTATTTCTGCCTTTTTGTTTGGACTCAATTACTCTGGATAACAGCCATACTTAATGTGTGACGGTTGATAAACCTAATTGCCCAGGCTGAAACGAGCGGAAAGGGACATGAACTCATGACCCGTTGGCTGTGATCCTGGCTCTTCACCCGATATCAATGACATCTATGCTAATTTGTTCTCTTTTCAACTCTACAGTACTGATTTAAATCTGCAACTTGATAGTTCCAGATATTTCCAACTCTTTAAAAAATTCAAGAGATGAAAGACGAATTCCAATGCATTTAAATCAGATTTCATAGAAAATGTATTCGAAAAATACTGAAATTCGAAGGTAGTTTTATTGGTTAGGTAAACTTAGAAATCATAGCTCTTACAGATAATTGGCAGCTTGTTAATTATCCTACTAACAAAAATAAAGTAGTATAAACCCATATCGCTCACCTTACTATTCGGTAGTGGACGCAGTGATTTTTCGGCTTTACTTGGATCATCTTTTTCTTCAAAGTAGAAGGAACTCCGAAACCTGATCAAAGGCTAAAACCAAGGGACAGAAGGACAACTGAATTAACTAAGCGAAGAAATAATACCTCTATCGGCAATCTATGTAAATGCAGGAAAGCAACGGGAGGAAATCAGCGATTTCACTCCCTATTTCCTCGCTAAAACATCTAATAAAACAAAGATATCAGATTTACAAATATATGAATATGTGGGTAAAATTACTATTATATACTCTTATTATTCCCTTGGGTTTCGAGTGGAACGGCTTCCTATCAGGAGTCAGCCAATGGTTTTCGTCTAATGACCTTAAACTGAATCCTTCTAAATGTCAGACTGTTGATTTCAGTTTCCGATATAAAAGAAAGTTAAATGAAGCTGTTGGTTCCTATAACCCTTGCAAAATTGATGATACTGATATAGAAACCAAGTCTGAATTTCAGTATCTTGGATTGATTCTTTTTTTCTGACCTATCCTGGTCTTCCCGTGTATTAGCGATTTCGAAAAGAATATTTCGTCTAACTTTTTACATAAAGAAGTTAAGGCACTCAGGCATAACCCAACCACTCCTCTTACAGTTTGTCAACTCGTGCATCTTACCTATTCTTCTTTACTGTTCACCCTTGCTTATTCTTTCCTGGATTGCTCAAAAAAAGTTTATGTCATACTTCGTAGGACTCTGAAGACTGTCAGTCAGTAGGACGAGTGGCATCCCATTGGGCCATATTGTTGACACCGTCATTGATGATAGGCACCTGATGTCATGCAACAAATTTGCTAGAGGAATTTTTTCACTTTACCCGCAGCTCTAACCTTGTGTCTCCTCAGGTAAAACGTCTAAGTATAAAAATTCCACTATATATTCCACTTCATATTTGGCACGTACTTTATGTGATAAAAATAGTGTTAGGCACGAACCAACTAGCCTTCTTTGCACTACACTACATAAACCATTTCCTCCACCCTTACAATATCAACTTTTATTGTTATTGTACTTCTTATATTTATAATTCTCTCGATTTTTTCCCTCATAAGTGTGAACGTCGTTTACCTGTGGTATAACTGTTAATCTTGTATTTCCCCTCACCATGCTGCTATATCAACAGAACATGCTAAAATTTTCAAATTGAATCAACAATACTGTTTGAAACAAACTCACTGTTATTATTATTATTATTATATTTACTATTCTCACTTAGGACTTCGAATGTTTTTGACTTTATATTGTAAACGTGGACAAATTCCTATGGTTAATTTTGTTTTAATTTTTAATTTTATTTATATTTTGAGTTAATCAGATGCAATATTGTTACAGATGCTGAGAATTCCATTCTGTATTATAAGTACTGTTTTTGGAATAAAGTCTGTCTGTCTGTCTGTCTGTTTTCGACATAGAACTTTGCACAAATGTGCGGAAGTTCAAGTCGCCACATTCCGTGTAGCACGCGAAGCAAGAGAAGAAAGTACAAGAAAAGCATAATAGAAACAGTGAGCAGAGGTGTGAGACAAAGGAGTAATAAAGAAATACAAAACAGTTTCATTGAAGATCATAAGTCACAGGGAGTGGATGCATCTGCGCCGCTGTGAACGGTTTTGAGCCATGTCACCAATTGTTTCCAACCATAGATTTTTACCGTCCCGAGGACCCCAGCCTGGAAGTCTACACCTTTCTACGTGGCTTAGACCAACTGTTGTGGATTTCATTGACTGGTGAAGCCAAGTTTTTGTTTGACCGCCGCTAGCTTTTTTCCAGTCTGACCCTATATCCGCTAACATAGCTCGTCGAGGGAGGCGATGGCTTGGCATACGTAACACATGTCCTAACCATCTCAGTCTTTGTAGCTTCACGACTTCGTCGATTGATTTCCCCTGTTTACCTAGAACTCTGCGCCTAACCTCCATGTTGCTCACCTTATTATGCCACTTTACACGGGAATAAAGTAGATTATTTATTTATTATTATATTATTATTATATCCCTTCAGTGGCTCATCTTCATTTCACTCTGTTCTCTGAAGTCTTTTGTAACTGGCTGCACGACTACTTAGAAGCTTCTTTTCTTTTTAACCAGACGATCTTCTACATGTCACCTTAGGAAGTCCCACTTGCCGTTACTTATTCAGGCTCTACGTTAGGGTGTGATGTCACTCAACGATTTTCTCAGAGTATGTCCAGTCCATCCCCATTTCCTTTGGCACATTTGCTAGGGGATAGAATTCTTGTTTGGTTCATTGTTAGATTTCCTCAACGTTTATCCTTTCTAACCATCAGATCTTCAGCATCAAGCGAAAGCAGCTTGTTGGGAGTCTTTTTCGTAATGCACTAAATCTCTGAAGCATATATGGGAGCATTGACTTGACAGTGGTATTGAAAATCCAAAACTCCGTCATGCCAGTAGTGCCAGTAGATGTCCAATAATCTCAACCTTACCTTTGAAATCATAATTTGCGCTGCCTGTGCCTGTAGCTGGACAGATAAATCGGATTGCATTCAGCCACACGATTTCGGCTCAAAGTGAATTCACCACATACACCAACGAAACTTTCAAAATTGATTTTTTTAAAGACATAATTTGGTAAATCTATCAAGTCACTTACACGGTCTTTGTAAGTTTCAGGAAGAAAAGTAGGTGCATGTGAATTATTATTACATTTCCTTGAATCTGTTGAGTTCAGCGTACCACTTATGCTAGAATGAACGTCATCCATCATGGGAGAAAATGTATTCATCAATTGAGGTGTGGAAGATTTTGAAGCTTGATTTTCTATCGGTGTGAAAGGGCCAACTGTTGACGGCAAATGTATTAAACAGCCGATGACATCATCCTTTTTATATCCACCATTCGTATAATGTTTACCGTGAGATTCATGAAATACAGTACCAAGACGTGATCGCCAGGAATAGCTAAATTTGTCAAAACCACAAGGTGCTTGTAAATTACCTGGATATATATCAAGAGAGAAGGCAGTATTGAACATCTGTAACTGGAAATAACTGTAGATCACAAAAACCAATACAAGTTTTTCTTAAAAAAAGACAAGCATTAACATGTTTTGACCGTCTCACAGTCAAGTAGTCAAGTTAAAACTTAGATACAAGCTTTAAAAGACTAAACAGACAGTCGAAGACAAACCAGTAGAATCAAGCTGTAGTAGCGAAGAAATCTCAGCACACAACAGACTAAGATTGGGCTAGTAAATTCACAGTGCTGGACAACTACTCATCTACTCCTAGCGAGTAAATAGTTCGATGTGGCATAATCTATGCTATTCACTGCAGGACATTACGAGCAGGTAGGCATTAATACAACATGCTTTCCATAGCATAAATCATTTATATTACTTGTATATATATATATATAGAATATTCTAGAATAGAATATATTCTAGATTAGTAGTCAATAACAATATTGGCGTGTTTTCTAAATAATATCGATTTGTAAAGTATGACCACAATGGAATTACAGTTCATTAAAGAGGCTTAAATTATAATAATAATAATAATAAAGATACAGTAGGAAATAGAATATCAATTAAAATTAGGAAAACTCCACAAAAATTCAGGATCATTCAAACCTAGCTGGCCAAGGTAACGATAATGTCTGAACTAACTTTTTTGGATGCACAAATTACTCTTTTTAATATGGATCCCAACAGTCAGCCTCAGCAATATTTAGTAGTCGAACTCTTAAGGAAAAATTGTGATTTTTCGGTATGCAGTTAATGACTATGAAAGCCTCCTTGTTAACATCAATCTTGTGTTCTGTATCCACAAGATGAGAGAGAATAGCGCTACGAATAGATCTTGTTTGTACTTTACTTAAAGCACGCAGGATGATGTTCGGAAATCCGACAAGAAACACGTCTAATTGTACGACCTATGTAACTGGCTCCACAGGAGCAGTTTAACTGGTAGATACACATGAAAGAGGAGAAATAGGCAGTTCATCTTTTACTCCTGGACGCAAAAGAGGCGTGATTTTGAAGACATAGAGTAATTCAGCAGCAGGGAATGCTCTTTTCACCGCCTCATTTCTAAGGCTATGTGTTAGTATCTCGCTGATGTTGTCCCTAAGGAACTGCATTTGTAAGAATAAGGCTTTTTTAGGAACTCTTGGTACCTTGAGCTGCCTTGAATTTAGGTTCATATTCTCATTAATAAAGTTTTCTGGAAAACCGTTTTCACTCAGCAACCATTTGATATTAGTAAGTTCCCCATCAAGACAATCATCCGAGCAGATTTCTTTTGCTCGGTGGAACAAACACTTTATCAGATTGCGTTTGTATTTCAAGGGCACGAAGCTGAGAAAATGAGTATACTGACCCGTTGATGTAGGTTTTCTATATACACTTCTTCTTATGGCGCCATCCTCTTTACTGGTCATAATGTCATCTAGAAATGAAATACTAGAGTCTTTCTCTTCCTCAATAGTAAAATTTATTGCAGGATGAACCTCGTTAAATTTATCCAGGATGTTATTTGCTTCCTTCTCATTTTTCATACTCAAAAATATATCATCCGTGTACCGACAATAGAATTCGAGTTCATTAATAACATCCTTCCAAGGCCCATATTCTAGTTCCGCGAGGAAAATGTCGACTAGAATGGGTTCTATTGGTGACGTCACTACCACACCGCCGATTTCCCCATATAGTTACTTATTAAATAAAAAGTGGACATTCATTGTGCTTTTGAAGAGAAGCTCTTTCGTAAAAGATATAGGAATGCCAACATCAATGTTTCGTCTTATGAGTTCATAGCATACAAAGTCCACTGTTTCCATGAGTGGTACATTGGTGAATAAGGAAGATACGTCAAATGATATCATGAACTTATTGTTAACATTTAAATCTTTTATCCTTTCAACAAAACCAAAAGTATCCTTTACACTGTGTTTCACCAACTCGGTATGAAGAGTTCGACTAACCATTTGGATAGTATCGTGAATTTAGCATATCTAATAATGGTCGAAGCGGTACACCATTTTTGTGCGCTTTAGGCGAGCCATATAGTCTTGGTGTGAACACTCCAGTGAGCTTAAGTGATGTATAATGAAAAAAAAGTTTGATTGCATTAAAAACTACAGATTCTTATACTGGCTCATTTCCATAGTGTTCACCAATGTTTGTAAGAGGGACAAACATTGCCTAATTATTCGACCGAAACATCTGACAGATAAGCATTCATGGCATCTACCTTATTTTACCCGGCAGTAACAACTTGTATAAATAGGGACGACAGAAATTTCAATACTCACCATACATTTGAGACCAGCCAATTCGAGTTGCAGAACCTTCTGGTTGTTCTGTGATGATTGCTTCAAAATACCAGGTACCCGAGTGAACGCTGTGAGTCGCTCTAGACATACAGTATCCTTTATCGCCAGTAACTGATAACTGAGATTCGTGTACTTTCAAGTGATTCGCTATGAAGAAGAATAAAAAAAGTAGTAAAGGACAAGAAAACAACAACAATAAAGCCTGTCTGTCTGTTTTCGACATAGAACTTTGCACCGATGTGCGGCAGTTCAAGTCGTCACACTACCTCCTTGTAGCACACAAAGCAAGAGAAGAAAGTAGGAGAAATGTATAATAGAGACAGTAATCAGAGGTGTGAGACAAATGAATAGTAATAACGAAGAACAATATGGTTTCATTGGAAACCATAAATCACAAGGAGTGGATGCATCTGTGCCACTGAGAACGATTTTGAACCATATCACCAATAGTTTCCAACCATTGGTTTTTACCGTCCCGGGGACCCCAACTAGTCAGGAAGTCTACACCTTCCTACATGGCTTAGACTAACTGTTGTAGATTTCATTGACTGGTGCCATGTTTTTGTTTGACCTCCACTAGCTCTTTTCCAGCCTGACTCTGTATCAGCATCAATAAAGTAATCATGAAGGACTGAAATTCAGATGAAAAATGTATGCTTTTTTATACAGATGTTTAAGTAGTACAATCATTAGTTACACTGGGTAGAGGAGAATGATGGTCAGGAAGGCTTTGTGTGCTTTTGGAAGTGCGTGGGCGGTTGTTACTTGCCAGCTACCCAACCAACCGTGGAAGTTGGTTGATTCTTTGGGTACCTGAAGGGTTGGTGTTGTGTGACCACAGAGCCCAGGGGACAACTGCTTGAGTCCAGTCACACACGGCCTGTATGAACTGATTTCTGGGATTGGTTCCGTATTAGTAAACTCATAACCGGTTACGGACTACCGCAGGTTGAGTCGAGGGGTACAATTGTTGGGGTCGACATTTTTTGGCTCCCTCTCTCCAGAGTGGATAGACAACATAGCTGGCTGGCATTCTGGTCATCTGAGGGAAACACTGTACTGCTGTTACCTGCTTCGCCGGTTACGGACCACCGTAGGGTGAGTCAGGATGTACAATTGTTGGGTTCAACATTTTCAGACACCATAGCTGGCTGAGATGCTGGTCATCTGAGGGAAACACCTCACTGCTGTTACACCCCTGTTCCCCAGCAGTACGATTTCGCCCTCCGACCCCCAGCATAGTGTAGAAAAAATAAATTCTTACACTATGTCAGCAACTGCTTTTAGTCTAACGCTATCCTAACAACCTCCCTGGGATGGTAGGACCCGCAGGAACATTGGTTCCAGACAGTGTAGCTTGTTGGATCATCGCGATGTGCAAGCCCGACCACTACGCCAAGGTAGCAGCTATCGGTCGGGCATTAGTTATGCCTGTTCAAATGAATAATAAACAAGTAAATTCAAATGTTTTCTACAAACTTCACGTTGTTCAGGTTCAGGATGCTAAGCAAAATGTACAAACTTGAGGGTGTAAATGTAAGGGGTAGAAGGCGAAAGATTTGGTAAGGAATGTTTACTCGGAAATTGGTCTCTCTATATTATAGCCAAATTATGTACACCTTATCTTCAACGCGCTATTTGCACAAATCTTCCGTGTTGTGGTACTTCTAGCCTTCTTATTGTGTTTCTCTGTTTCCCTTCCAAATCTCCTGTGTATCTCTCCGACTATATTACTATAGTATATGTTTTTTTTCCTTCACGCTTTCCCATTGGAACATAGGGCACCTTCAAGCTAGAAGCTTGAAGTTTCCTATAGCAGTGATGTTTATGTTTACAGGATGCGGTTGCTAGCCTCATGCCTAACCTTCTCTCTTTACCAGTTTTATTACTGGCATAGCGAGGTAAGGGGGGAGTGCGTCAGTGGCCGGGGACCGAACCCCGCACCATGTGCATGGTCGGCAAGCATGCTAACCGCTACGCCACCGACGTGTATCTGTATGAAATTAAGATAAGAGAAAGAAGTTTATAAAAGCATCCAAGAATATTATGGAATGTGTTAGAAAAGAAATCTTGGTATAAACAGAAAATAATAATAACAATAAGAATAGGTAGTTGAACATTTGAAATTGATTTATTCACCTAAATTATTCATTCATTCATTAGAGTGGTATCGGTGATAAAGTTGGCATTGGACTCCATTTTTTATATGAAGTTGATATACTAGGCGGTGATATTGGAACTGATGTTGTTGTTGTTGGTGTTGTACTGGTCATCGAACTAGTAGTGATGATGAATGCATAACACCGTCGATTAATTCATTTGGTCTCGGTGTTGTATACCATCGACCACTTGGTGGTAATAGATAAGCACAATGTTTTATTAATAATTCAATTAATGCATGTTCAAATAGTGTACCAGCTAAACAACTTATAGGATCTGTATACGATGAACTTAATAATGTTGGAGATAAAACAATAGCTAAGTTAGCAGTAGTCATCATATTGATTTCTTGCTTTTCAGCTATCCTGTGTATATGATTGATAAAGTAACGTAAACTTTCATAATGAGCACCTGGTAATCGAGAAAACACCTTCTTCAATAAATCAAGCTTTTCTTGTTCCACTAGTCGGTCATTACGAACAACATAAAGTAAATCTGGATAAGCTTCATTGGTGATTAATGGGACAGGCGATTGACGTAGAAATGATTTAATCAAACTTGTCAAAGCATTGATATCACGTACATGAGCTTCAGATATATTGGCTAATTCTGGATCTTTATCAAATTCAATACGTAATTCTTCGACTAGATCATAATTTCCATGGATACGATAAAGACCTTCACAGAATAATCCACCACAACGTTCTATTTCTTGAATACATTTAATGAGAAGTGTTGGCACAGCCTTATTTTCAGCTCTTGCTAAATTAGTCAAATCAATACCGAAAACTCGTTTCATTTGCTTAATATCAGGTACACAATTACACAATCACGTATAGTATATATATATATATATATATATATATATATATATATATAATAATATATATATATATATATATATATATATATATATTACTCATAAATCTTATCAGTAACACTCGCTACTATAAATGACTATTAAAGCGACACAAACTACTGAAAGACTGAGTTGTTTTTAAAACAAAAGTTCATGACTTACAAATGAAATAAGTGCTGTTAATAAAAATATAAATTCTAAAAATTTAATAATAATCATATATATATATATATATTCGCATAAATTCATATTTTTTTCTCAGAACATTGAAGGCAAACAAAAATTTCATGGGAAACACCTATGAAATATATATATATATATATATATATATATATATAACAAAGATAAACTTACCACGATCACTCAGAGACAAGACCACTTGCGAACATATAAACACACGGTAGAATAAGCCAGGTATGGGCTTTCCAGCTGTGAACTCACATTCATCCCACTGCTCTCGACCAGGAGCATGCTTGTCTGGTTCAACTAAAATGTAACTGAAGATAAGAAAACCAAGCTATCAGCAGATGTGATAGTTGTTTCGTGGTAGTTAAGTAATCCTGTACACCTATTCATCGTGTTTCAACACACCAGTAACTGATCTAGATATTTCATACATTTGGTTCCCTTGATAAATTTCGATAGAGGAAGAAAGACCAGATTTGCAGTATAAAATGAAATCATCATCCTATTTCACTGGTTTCTCCTCATCAGTTGCAAACTATCTGAAATTACAATGGTTATAAGTAGTGACATTTCATACTTCAATTTTTGAAAGGTAATAAAGAAAAAATTATAAGATGAGCACATCTTTATTACCTTTCAAAAATTGAAGTATGAAATGTCATTACTTATAACCATTGTAATTTCAGGTAGTTTGCAACTGATGAGGAGAACCTGTGAAATAGGATGATGATTTTATTTTATACTGCAAATCTGGTCTTTCTTGATCCAGATTTGTTACATCATTTTAGCGATGGATTCAGGATATCCTATTAAGCACTCTGTATCTCATTCCTAATCAGTAAAATGCTACTAAAATATCTTAAGTGACCATTGTACAACTAAATCAGCCACTTGGAGAAGCATTGTTTACTTCATTGATGACGCAGAAGCTCTCATACCAGGGAACGTTGAAACCTCAGTAGTAGACATACTCCCCGAAATTTTGCCTTCTGAAGACGTGCCAGCATAAAAGATGATACAGAAAAACTACCCATTCCACTGAATAAACTATTACCCGGAGATCTGCGTTTACGCCAAGTAGGTTGATCCACACCATCAATTTCACCACTAAAAGGAAACTGGTTGCCAGCTGACGAATGATGCAGGAACTGATCTGCAGTATCGAAACAGCACCCGACACCGAAGACTGATTTTGAGACACACTGGCGGGAATGTTTTGCGGACGGGACACCCAGTTTAGTAATATTTGTCCGCAACTGGCTTGTAAGAGCACGAAATCGATCATAACTCGGACCAATTTTTGTGAGGTCCTACAGAAGTAAATGCAATACGCCAGTGAGCATTAAAACCCCGTCTATTTTTGGGAAAACTACCAAACCTGAGAAACAATTGGGAGTCTTACACTGGACTCTTCTCAGAGAAAAATATAAGGATACGTAAAGCGATTGCGCGTCGGTGGCACAGAGGTTACGACGCTCGCCGACCATACGCATGCTCCGGGGTTCGATCCCCGGCCGACTCACTCCTTTACCTCGCCAAGCCAGTAATAAAAAAGCTGGTAAAGAGGAAAAAATTGGGCATGAGGCTAGCGATCCCATCCTGTAAAATTAAACACTGCTGCAGAAACTTCAAGCCACTAGCCTGAAGCCCTATGTTCCACTGGGAACGTGAAGGGAAAAAAACGCGATTGCACCTCAGGCACGTCAAACTTTCTTTAGCATACTAAACGATCAAATTTAATTCTGGTACACGTCAGACAGTGAATGCAAGTATGTTCGTCTCACTTCGTTACATAAGTGTAACACGGAAACAGAGATAAAAATGACTACATCACGTTACCATTAAAACAGAGCTTAATGACTCAACTCATGCCTAATGGTCAA